TGGATGGATGATGGATGGATGGACAGATGAGTAGATGGATAGATGGGTGGATGGATGGATGGATGGATGGAGTGGATAGATGGAGGGATGAGTGGATGGGTGGATGATGGATGGATAGAGGGATGAGTGGACGGTGGATATGATGGATGGATGGATGGTTAATTGGATGGGTGGAGGGATGGATGTTGGATGAAAGAAGGATGAGTGGATGGGTGGAGAGGGGATGAGTGAATGGATGGAAGATGAGCAGATGGATGGATGGACAGATGAGTAGATGGATAGATGAGTGGATGGATGGAGAGATGAGCAGATGGATGCAGGGATGGATGGATAGTGGATTGGATGGACAGATGAGTAGATGGATAGATGGATGAGTGGATGGTTAGACAGTGAGTGGATGACTGGAGGGGTGGATGGATGGATGAGTGAGTGGAAAGATGGATGAGTGATGGATGATAGATGGATGTCCAGATACTTTTGTGGGCATTGAGTTTGCAACAACCCCATTAAAAATCAGGGAAAGTGGAGTCCAGTTGAAAGAAAGACCAAAAAGGAGCTGACCATAGCCAGCCCGGCCTTGTGAGCAGTGAGGTCTCCTTGGTCAGTGACTGGCATTGGTGATGGTCTGGGACAAAACTAACGTGTTGGCCACGCCCTGGTCACTGTCGCAGCAGCTGGTTCCCATCTTGCGGCTTGGGGGTCGCTTGTCCTCCATGAAACAGCTTAGGGATGTGCCTCTTGGAGTCAGCACCTAGGGATAGGAGCTTCCTCTCCCTGTCTCTTGAGCACTGTCCAACCTTGTTCAAGGCAGCTCTGGCCTTGGGGAGGCCCTGAGTGTTCCCATGTGCTCTCTGTGCATGCAGTGCCCCTCCTGGGAGCCTGTTATCAGCACAGGCAGAACCAGTGTGTTACTGTTAGGTCATTTCCCACCCCCGTTCCCGCAGATGTGGGATGTACCCTCACTGTCTGCCTGCTGGGCTGAGCAGAGGCCACCCCAGCCTTCCTTAGTTAGAGGCCGTCCTCCAGGATCTCTGCAGTGGGTGGGGAGGGGCAGACTGCCTTGTCTCGGAATCATGAAACTCAAAGACCCTTCCAGGATGGGGGTTGGCCTGGGTGGGTGAGTAGGAGGCCCCATGAACCCGAGCCTGTGGCAGCCTCGGGCAGCAAGTCCTTGCAGTGGTGCTGGAGGGGCCAAGGCCAGGCCAGCGCTGTGTCTCTCCACAGCTGGGGCTGTTTAAGCAGAACTACTCCTTCAATGACTCGTCCTCCGGGGGTCAGCTGGTGATCCACACTCCAGCTCTCAATAGCCAGGTGCTCAGAGGCTGGGGGACCAGGGTTGGGTGGGATGGCCAGGGGGCTCACACTGCCTGGTTCCTGAGGGACAACGCCAGCCTCAGCCCAGCAGCCACCCAGGTTCCTCAGAACACATGTGCCCTTGGCCCTGGCCATGGTCAATGCTAGGAATGTCTCCTTCAAGAGGAGCAGTTTGAGAATCATGAGTTCCCAGCCAGTTCCTAGCCTCCACACCTCTTCCTGGGCCAGTGAGAGATGCAGGAAGCCTGTCTCCTGGTGAGTTGGCAGCTTCTCTTCCAGTTCACCGTCTTATGGCCAAGGCGGCCTGGGCAGGCAGTGGGAGGTGACCTCAGGGCAGCTGGGGTGCCTGGTCCCAGAGGTTAGACCTGTCTCCAGACCCTGCTAGGCATGTCCCGGTGCCCGAGCCTGTCACATCAGGCCCGAGGCAGATGGCCCCTGCAGCCATGCCCCTGCCTGTTTATGGATGAGGAACCCGGGCTCAGAGGCCCAGGGCTGTCCAGTTAGATAGCCCAACCTCCTGCTCTTAGGGACATTCATGGGAGCCTGGCTCCAGGGACCCAGAGTAGAAAAAAACAGGACACAGGCTGCTGTCACCTGTCGTTTCCAGAGAGGAGCTTTGCTACCCTTGTAATGTCATGGGCTGCAGGCCAAGGCTCCATAAGGGAACTCAGCCATGGGCCCCAGCCTCATAGCACTTCCTGGGGTCAGCCGCTGCAGTCTGCTCCTCCTCTCCTCTTTCCTTCACTTCCCTTCTCTTCCTTCCCTCCTCCTTACGGTCCCCTCCAAAGGCAAGGCAGGCTCCTTTGGTCCAGCCCCAGTGAGTAGCACATGCTTGGGGCCAGTGGAGAGAAATGGATGGATTTATGGCCCCAGCCCCAGGGTGAGACACTAGTGGCTGTGATGCCTACTGTGCCTCTTTCTCTCCCCAGGGCTCCCATTCTATGGGTGGAGAGAAAGATGACGCAATAGGCGATCCAGGTGAGTGCCCACCCTGCCCCCTCCCCACTGGAGTGCTGCTCAGTAAGCACTGAGGACCAACCCGGAGAAGCTCAGTAGTAGGGAACCCAGGCTCAGTAAATGCTGAGGACAAACTGAGCTCAGTGAGCAGGGGACCTAGACTCAGTGAGCACTGAGGACAGACTTGAGCTCCAGTAAGCAGGGACAGGCTCAACCGTGCTGAGACAAACCCAGGTTCAATAAACAGGTGATTTTGGCTCAGTGAGCACTGAGGACAAACCCAGGATCGGTAAACAGGACCAGGCTCAGTGAGCACTGAGGACAGATCCAGGCTTAGTGAGTGAGGACCCAGGCTCAGTGAGCCACTGAGGACAGACCAGGCTCCGTGGCAGGGAAACCCAGGCTCAGTGAATGCTGAGGACAAACCCAGGCTCAGTAAATAGGGAAACCAGGCTCAGTAAATGCTGAGAGACAAACCAAGAGGTCAGTGAGCACTGGACAAACCCAGCATTTACTGGCCCAGGCTCAGTAAATGCTGAGGATAAACCAGGCTCAGTGAGCACCGAGGACAGTCCCAGACTCAGTAAGCATGGGACCCAGGCTCAGTGAATGCTGAGGACAAAGCCAGGTTCAGTAAACAGGTGACTCTGGCTCAGTGAGCATTGAGGACAAACCAACCAGTGCTGGCCAGGCTCAGCAAATGCTGCGAGGACAAACCCAGGATCAGTAAACAGGGTACCCAGGCTCAGTAAGCATTGAGGACAGACCCAGGCTCAGTAAGCAGGGAAACCAGACTTTAGTGAATGCTGAGGACAAACCCAGGCTCAGTGAACGCTGAACACAAACCCATAGTCGGCAGCAGGGTCCCAGGTTCAGTGAGTGGCGAGACCAACCCAAACTCTACTGCTCTCCACAATTTCCCAGGGATCCCTGAGGGCTTCATGACCCTCTCTGTCTGCTTCACTGTCTGAATCTCTCCCTCTGCTGACCCATCTGTGTCCTTGCTGTTTTCCTGGGGTAGGGGAGTGCACAGGCCAGGTCCTGGCTGGCAGCTTCTGGAGTGGAGTGACCTAGTTCATGACTAGGTCCCATGTCTCCATCTGAGACCAGAGAGGGTCTCTCAAGTGCCCACCTATCTGTGTTACCCAGAGGGGTCCAGTAGATCCTGTGCTGAGGGTTCCACACAGAAAACCAGGTCCACTAAGCCTCATCTCCTCCACAACCGGGGCAGGCGGGAATAGCAGCCTCCTGGTGTCTTCCTGCGATCTCCTGCCTCACCCACTGCACCTTCCATCCCACCTGGGCCTAGAGTGGGCGGCCCAGGAGGACCAGGGTTTCAAGACTCCATCTGCCCGCCAGCCCTGGTGGTAGTCAGCCAAAAAGCCTTGGCAGCCGAGCTGTCCTGACATGGGAGTGAGGTCAAGGCAGCCCCCCAGACACACCTGGCTTTGTGTGGTACCTGCCCACCGAGGCCTGTGGGATCAGACCCTGCACCGCAGCCGGCTACTCGGGCTCCTTCCCTTTCCTGACTCCCAGGTCATCGTGGCCATAATAAGCTTCCATAAATTTGATGCTTCTCATCTACCTCAGCTACAAAGTAGTGCCTGTCCCACGGTGGCACTTGATGAAGTCCCCACCCTTCCCCACCTCTCCTACCTCCCATATGTCCCCACCTTCCCTCCCCCCCCACCTCCCCACCGTCCCCTACCTACCCCCACCTCCCCCCACCTCCCCACCGTCCCCTACCTCCCCCTCTTCCCCACCTCCCCTACCTCCCACTCACGTCCCTCACCTTCCCACACCTCCCCACCGTCCCCCTACCTCTCCCCCCTTCCCCCTCCCCCTACCTCCCATACGTCCCCCCACCTTCCCCCACCTCCCCACCATCCCCTACCTACCCCACCTCCCCCACCTCCCCACCGTCCCTACCACCCCCACTCACACCGTCCCTACCTACCTCCACCTCCCCTACCTCCCCACCGTCCCTACCTCCCCCCACTTCCCCACCTCCCCTACCTCCCATACGTCCCCCACCCTCCCCCCACCTCCCCACCATCCCCTACCTACCCCTACCTCCCACCTCCCCACCGTCCCCTACCTACCCCCACCTCCCCCCACCTCCCTACCGTCCCCTACCTCCCCACCTCCCATACGTCCCCCACCTTCCCCCACCTCCCCACTGTCCCCTACCTGCCCTCCCCCCACCGTCCTACCTCCCCCTTCCCCACCTCCCTACCTCCCATACGATCCCCCACCTTCCCCACACTCCCCCACCTCCCCCCACTGTCCCCTACCTTCCCCCACCTCCCCCACCGTCCCCACCTCCCCCTTCCCCACCTCCCTACCTCCCTTACGTCCCCCACCTTCCCCACCTCCCCCACCATCCCCTACCTCCCCCCTTCCCCACCTGCCACACCTTCCCTCCCCACCCTCTGCTGTTCCCCACACTTCCCAACTCATCCTGACCTCCAGGGGTAGGGCTCCTCGCCCTCTCGCCATCCTGCCCCTCCTGCCGGGCCCCACCCCCCACCCTCAATCGCCCCCTGACATCTCCCCCATTTTGGCCCCCAGGAGCAACATCTGGGAGCAAATCTTCCCGCGTGTCCTTCGTCCTGGAGATGATCAACACTCTGCCCTTCATCATCACCCATCCTGCCCCTCCCCTGCCGGGCCCCACCCCCACCCTCCGTCGCCCCCCCTGACATCCCCCATTTGGCCCCCAGGGCAACATCTGGGAGCAAATCTTCCGCGTGTCCTTCGTCCTGGAGATGATCAACACTCTGCCCTTCATCATCACGGTGGGTGAGCCCCGGCCGCCAAGAGTGTGGCCCCTGGAGCCCCAGCCCTGACCTGTCCCCTTCACAGATCTTCTGGCCGCCGCTGCGGAACCTGTTCATCCCCGTCTTTCTGAACTGCTGGCTGGCCAAGCACGCGCTGGAAAACATGATTGTAAGCCGGGGCGGGGGGTGCAGCTGGGACCTGGGGGGGCCACCTTCAGCCTCACCGGCCCTGGAAGACACTGTGCGACGTAGCCTGCCACGCCCAGCCCTGGGCGTGAGCTGTAGAGGACCAGGAGGCCAGGGCAGCAGAAACTCTGTTTCTGCTCCTGGAAAACATCCAAGCCAAGCCCCGAATGCCCTCTTTCCAGGAAGAAACTCAATCCCAGAGCTTTTCCTCACCCTGGAAATTAAATGGCTGGCGGGAGGAGGAGGGACAAAGTGAAGAGTGTGACAAACCTAGGCCACGAGGACCAGGGCCACAAACACCAGGCCACATGCAAACCGGGGCCATGGGGCCACAGACAGGCCCTGTGCTAAGTGTCTCAGCAAAGTCCCTGTCATGGGAATGGCAGCAGCCGGTTCCCTAGGCACCCACCCTCTCCAAGCCAGACCCCTTGATTCACAGCCCCCATTCCTGCCCCAGTGGTAAAGCGGCGTTACCATGCTGGGTCCAAGCCGTACACACTAACCAGCCCTCTGACCTGAGACTTAAGCTCATCCCCGGGGACGTAGGCAAGATGGGGACCCATCCTGAGAGAGGATAGCAGAAGGGGGGCCCAGGTGCAGGCTGCTCCGTGGGCCTCAGCCGAGACACAGGTGTAGCGGGGTGCAGGCTGCTCCGTGGGCCTCAGCCGAGACACAGGTGTGGCCGGGTGCAGGCTGCTCCGTGGGCCTCAGCCGAGACACAGGTGTAGCCGGGTGCAGGCTGCCTCGTGGGCCTCAGCTGAGACACAGGTGTGGCCGGGCCGTCTGCCTTTCCATTGGCCGTCTAGTTTCTATTCATTGGCTCCTGGTGGGGTTCACAGTCCCTGCCCGCTGATGGTCACCGCTCCTTCCACAGAACGACTTCCACCGTGCCATCCTGCGGACGCAGTCGGCCATGTTCAACCAGGTCCTCATCCTCTTCTGCACCCTGCTGTGCCTCGTTTTCACAGGGTGAGTGCCGGCCGTCAGTGCAAGCACCCCAGAACGTTGGGGAGGGCCTGAGAGGCAAGCAGGGCCGGGCTGGGGGATGCAGATGCCTGTGTCCAAGCAGTCAGGGGGCAGAAAAGGCCACGGTGCCTGGGCTGCGGGTGTCGGACCACCCAGCTGGGACTGAGGTCAGGAGGCAGCTCCAAGCCCACGTCCCCAGTACACAAGCAGCCCTGCAGCCTGGCTTCTCCAAGGCCAGAGATACCCAGACCTGGCTTCCTGGTCTATGCCGTGGATGTAGAGAAACGGACTGGCCCCTGGGCCAGGTGGGGGTCTCTTGGCTGAGGCCCAGCTGAAAGCAGGTTCTGGAGGCAGCCAGGGTAAAAGTGGGGACGCCCAGAGCTGCGAGGGCCTCCAGGCCACCCAAGCATGTCCACTGTGCCCATCTGCCTGTGTTCCTGGTGAGGGCTCCACGTTGCTGCTCTGTCTTGGTTCCCAGCGAGGCCTGGTCGCCACTTCCCGTCCCCAGGCAGGGATGTCAGACAAGCACTGTGTCCTGGGGACAGGGAGAGTGCCCTGTGTTTCCCGCCTCCATTCCCCCACTGTCCCTCATGACAGACACAGAGCTCAGTGGGCAGACTGGGGCATCCATGGGGATGGCATCTGGGACCTGGCGGTGACCCCAGCCCTGCCCATTAGACCTCCCAGCCTCGGGCCTGGGTGGCTTGTCTGGCTGTGCCTGGCAGAGGCCTGAGTATGGGGGTAAAGGGGCAAGGCTCTGAGCCAGACCCACCCCCCCCATGTCAGTCAAGGCCACACTGATGACAGCCCTGCACCCCCTGCTCCCAGAGAATTTTCCAGAGGCCTAGGAGAGAGCCACCGGGTAGGCAGGGAAGCTCTGGGGAATTTGCCGTGAACAGAGGCCGCCATGCTGTGGTCGAGGGGTCAGCTGCATTGTCAGCCAGCGTCAGTCAGGAGATGGCTCTGGCAGAGCCTGGGGACAGATGGGCAGGGCTGAGGGCCTGACGCCACCCAGCTCTCAGGAGGGCGGGGCTCACCCGGTGACCAGGTGATGAACAGCTCAGTCTCCTGGGCAGTGAGGGTCCCGTGGGCAGGCAGGATCTCTGGCGCCACGGCCCCCCAGCTCCTGGGCCCCAGGCTGCCCCTAACTGCCCGGGGTTACAGGACCTGTGGCATCCAGCACCTGGAGCGGGCGGGCGAGAACCTGTCCCTCCTGACCTCCTTCTACTTCTGCATCGTCACCTTCTCCACCGTGGGCTACGGCGATGTCACGCCCAAGATCTGGCCGTCACAGCTGCTGGTGGTCATCATGATCTGTGTGGCCCTCGTGGTGCTCCCACTGCAGGTGGGTCCTCCGGGCACCAACACTGGGTGGCACCAGCACTGGGTGGCACCAGCAAAGGGACAGGTGGGCGCCGGTAGAGGGAGGGGGCTGCTGGGGCTATGGCACAGTGCAGGGGCCACTCCCAGGCGGGGACAGCGAGGCCAGCCGGGCGGTGCCTGCTCCGTTGCACGCCCCCACTGAGGGTCTGCGGCGGGTCTGGTGGTGCTCAGCTTGGTGGGTGATGATGGAGTCCTGTGAGCTGGCCTTTTCCCTCTAGGGAGATGGTGGGTCTCCGGCGCCAGGGTGACGACCTGCCCCTCCCAGGCCCCAGGCAGAGTGCAGAGAGGGCTCAGGGTGCACAGCCGGCCCATTTCCCATCCACAGGCAGGTGCAGCAGCAGCTGCCAGGCCCACAAGGAGCACATCCCCTGGGCCACCCCAGCAGCTTCCCTGTCACCACTGCTGAGGCCCACTGCCCACTGAGCAGAGGAGGGGCCAGACCTCAGCGGGAACGGTGGAGGCCTGGAGAGGGCAGCTGCCCAGGGTGTGAGTGCTTGGGCCTGGACTGCCTCTGACACCTCCTGTAGGCACCCCAGCCCACCCTGGAAGGCCCCTGCTATCGGGGAGATGGGAGAGGGAGGGGCCCCCTGTGGGTGGTGGAACATTTTCTAGGAGCCTGGGTGGGAGGAGGAGCCCGAGGAGGTGGCCAGGGCCTTCTGGGAGTCAGACCCCCAGCCGGCTGCGGGATGCCAGGGAGACAGGGCAGTGCTTCCAGGGAGCCTCTGCCGACCCCGGACTCAGCCCCAGCTCCCTCCCCCTAAACAGCAGCGGGCATGGCACAGGTGTGGGCCCAGGCCAGGCCTGGCTCTTCCCCTCACTATATCCGAGTCAAAACTGTGGCACCAGCTGTACGGCCCTGAGCGTGGGTCATGTTCTCCACCTCTGCTGGCGTCCTTTCCCCTAACTTCAGATGGGGGCGTGCGCGTCTTCCCACCTGGTTGTCAGCCACTCCACCACCCAGTGCCGCGAGTCCCGTTCCTGTGAGCTGCCCGCTCCTCTTTGGTCTGCCCCCCAGTTTCCGCTGATGAGCGAGTCTCTCTGTGTTCTAGAAGAAGCCAGCTGTATGTGGCTTTCTCATTACTTCCTGCTCCATCGCCGCTCCTGTCACTTTGCTTACAGAATCTTCCATTCACAGATGGTCTTGACTTTTTTTATTTTTTTAATTAGAGATGGGGTCTCGCTCTCATTTTGTTGCCCAGGCTGGCCTCGAACTCCTGAGCTCAAGCGATCCTCCCGCCGCAGGCCCAGAAATAGCTGGGATTACAGGCAGCCTGGCTTTGATTCAACAATCTTTCCCTTATGGTTTCTGTTTTCCTGTCTTGACTAAAAGGATCATTCCTTCCCTCGATCATAATCCTGGCTTCCTATTTTCTTCCAAAAGTGTAAAGCTCGCCTCTCACCTGGAGGGTTTCACCCACCCAGAACCACCGTGTGGGGTGGGGGTGGAGCTGGGTTCTCCCCTCTGACGCCTGCTCCCCTACACCCTGCACTCTGTTCCTTTCTCTGCATGTTTCATAACCAGGCAAGGGCGGGAGCGAGGGTGGGAGCGAGGCCAGGAGCACGGTGTGGGGGGCACTCCGTGCGGTGACACTGCCTCCCTCCTCGGCCCACTTGCCCCCATCCATAAATCTCACCTCAAATTCTTTGCCTTCCCTCCTCGGCCCTCCTGCCCCAATCCATAAATCTCACCTCAAATTCTTTACCTTAATTACTTCTGCAAAGACCCTTTTGCAAATGGGGTCCCATCCTGAGGTGCAGGGGGATCTGCTTTCAGGGCCACCCTTCACCTTGCTAGGGGCCCCCAGCCTCTGTCCCTGGTCCTCCCCGGCCGCTGCACCTGCTGAGGCTGCTACACCCAGATGCTCTGCAGAGGCCTTAGCCAATCCAGTCTCTGAATTCCCCAGAAGCCCTTCCAGAGACATGTCCGAGAGGCTCCTGGGCCAGCTGAGGTCAGAGGATGGGCCAGCAGGGCCAATGCATCCCCTATTCCCCTGTGGGCCCACGGCCCAGCCACATGCAGCTCCACCTTCATGCTCCATCCGGCTCCTCTCACCACCCCAAACACCCTAGAGTGAAGAGGAGCCCCAGCCTCAGCCAACCCCAGGGTCGCTTTCAAATAAAGCAGGAGCAAAGTGCTCTCTCCTGTGCTGCTCATGAGACCATGGCACCCACGGGTAAGGGCCAAATCGGGATGTGCGGCAGGCCTGTTCCGTGTCCCTCTGCTGCGTCCACAGCCTCCGGGCTGGGGCCGCCTTCCCATTCTGCTCCTGAAGCCGAATTCACCAGTAAAAGCCCTTGAAGCAGAGTGATGGCCCCAAGGCACTTGCTTACGAGTGTAGCTTCTGGAACATAGCAACGCCGGCTGGGGACTCCTGGAAGCATCCCTCCAGGCTGTTTGATCAGCAAGGCAGACAGGTGACCTAAACAGCAGACATGTATCCTCTGCCAGCCCTGGAGGCCAGAATCAGAAGTTGAGGGGTTGGCAGGACTGGCCCTGTCAGGCCACTTTGCGGGAGATTGTCCCATGCCTCTCTCCAGCTTCTGGTGGTGCGGCAATCCCTGGGCTCTGCGGCTGGAGAAACCTCAGCCTCTGCCCCGTCTACCCTTGGCCTCTTCTCTGTATCTCTCACTGGATTTAGGGCCCACTCTAACCCAGGGTGACCTTATCTTAAATCATTATGTCTGCCGAGACCTATTTCCAAATCATATCACATGGCGAGATTCTGGGCAGACAGGATTTTTAGGGTCACTACAGAGCTGCCATCATTAGCTCCTTCATCCTCACGGCAGCCCTGGAGGCAGGTGCCATGCCGCCATCTTGCAGGTGAGGAAGCTGAGGCTCAGAGGGGGGCCGCGAGCCCTGGGGTGTCTGACAGCAGAGCCCCCGCCAGCACCATCCACAGGGAAGCCTCTGTTCCAGTCGCCCTGGAGTCTTGAGCACCTCCCAGCTGTGGAACCTGTTTTGTGTGGCAAGGCAGTGCAGCCTTGTCACCGGAACAAAGCAGGCACTGGATAAGTGCAACGAGATGGTCTCGTTTAGACCAGATGATAGCACATCCCCTGTGCAGGCCCACAGTCCATGGGAGCTGCTGCCATTGTTCATTTGTGTTCAATGAAGCTGGGCACCGTGACTCAGCCTGTAATCCCAGCACTTCAGGACGCCAAGGCAGAAGGATCGCTTGAGCCCAGGAGTTCGAGACCAGCCTGGACAATGTAGTGAGACCCCATCTCTAGAAAAAATAAAAATAAAACTAGCTGGGCATGGTGGCGACACACCTGTAATCCCAGCTACTCAGGAGGCTGAGGCAGGAGGATGGCTTGAGTCCAGGAGGTCGAGGCTGCAGTGAGCTGTGATCATACCACTGCACTCCAGCCTGGGTGACAGAGCGAGACTCAGTCTCAAAAAAAAAAAAAGAAAAGAAAAAAGCCAAAGACTTTCACCTGCAGACAAGTGGGGCCGGTGCTGAGAGGCCCCGGTGAACTCTGCTTTGGATCTGTCTCTTTGAGTCTCAACACCCAGACCTTGCATCTGGGGAGCATGAGCCGGGGCAGGTGGCATCCTCAGACCCGCAGCCTCGAACCCCCCACCCCCTGGACGTGGGCTCCTGACTGTGAGGCCCGTGAGTGCCTGGAGGGCCGGGGTCTGAGACCTGATTTGGCTGCCCTTACCATCAAGAGAGTGATCCCCAATTCCAGGGGCTAAGCCTCCCCACCCTCAGTTTACTCCACAGTCTCCAGCCACCCCTCCTCCCTTGGTCCCCACACATCCTGCCAGCTGGGCCTACGTCCTGTTCCGTGTCATCTGAGGTTATCAGCATCTGCAGCTTCCATGTGGGAAAGGCCCCCCTAATGCAGGCATCACCCCTGGCTGGCCCTGCCCCAGGCCCCCCGCAGACAGTCGTGTGTTGGGCCCCAGGTGCTTCGCCGGGAGCCCTCACTCCCCGGGCCTGGTCGTTGGTGCTCACCTGGTTCTCACCTGCAGTTCGAGGAGCTCGTCTACCTCTGGATGGAGCGGCAGAAGTCGGGGGGCAACTACAGCCGCCACCGCGCGCAGACGGAGAAGCACGTGGTCCTGTGCGTCAGCTCCCTCAAGATCGACCTCCTCATGGACTTCCTGAACGAGTTCTATGCCCACCCCCGGCTCCAGGTGAGGCCCCTGACCGCGGCCTAGCAGACGCCTCCCTCCTGGCCCCCAGAGATGCCATCCTCTCCCCAGGACTGCTCGGCAAGTCCCTCAATCCTCAGCCTCAGTTTACCCCTTCAGTGAGGATGGCAGTCCACACTCAGGTGGGGGGGCCCTGCGGCGGCCTCTTTTCCCTCCCGCCAGATGCAAGATCACAGTGAGCCCCAGGGCTCAGAGGTGGTGGCACAAACACAGTCCTGAGGGCAGGGCCGCCCGGGTTGGGCAGGGGCTGGCTCAGAGGGTCTGACCCTCTGCCTGGCCGGCAGGACTATTACGTGGTCATCCTGTGCCCCACGGAGATGGATGTCCAGGTACGCAGAGTCCTGCAGATCCCTCTGTGGTCCCAGCGGGTCATCTACCTCCAGGGCTCTGCGCTCAAAGACCAGGACCTCATGCGAGCCAAGTGAGTGCTGGTGGGCAGAGGGGGCGGCATGGGGGCACCTTCCTGAGACAGGTCGGCTGCTCAGGGCTAGGGCATTGGCCACCACTCTCATGGCCAAGGGTCCTGAGTTGGCCTGCCCAGCGAGCTGATCGGAGCAGGGGGTCCCGAGGGTGGGTGCCAGGAGCTCTTGGCCCAATATGAGTTGGTCCAGCTGGAGGTGGACCGTCTGGGGTGAATCATCCAGAGTGGACCGTCTTGGGTGGACCATTCAGGGTGGAATGTCCAAAGTGGACCATCTCAGCATCTTCCTGAGACAGCTCAGCTGCTCAGGGCTGAGGCATTGACCATTGCTCTCATGGCCAATGAGAGCCATTAGAGCATTGTAGACTATCCTCAGGGTGGACCATTTGAAGTGAACCATCCAGGATGGACATCCGGGATGGACCATCTAGGATGAACTCTCCAGTGTAGACCATCTGGGGTGGATCTTCTGGGCTGGATCATTCAGGGTGGACGTTCTGGGATGGACCATTTAGGTTGGACCATCCAAGGTGGATCGTCCGGGGTGGGTCGTCTGGGGTGGACTGTCCAGGGTGGACCATCCAGGGTGGATCATCTGAGGTAGACTGTTCAGAGTGGACTATCCAGGATGGACCATCCAGGATGGGTCGTCTGGTGTGGACCATTCAGAGTGGACCATTTAGGGTGGAACATCTGGGGTTGACCCTCTGGGGTAGATCATCGGGGTGGACCCTCTGGGGCGGATTGTCTGGAGAAGACCATCTGGGGTAAATTGTCTGGGGTAGATCATCCAGGGTGGACTGTCTGGGGTGGACCCTCTGGGGTGGATTGTCTGGGGTAGACCATCTGGGGCCTGTTGCAGCTTTCCCAGCTTAGGTCCCAAGCCCAGATGAGCAGCACCCTGCAGCCAGGCCCTTGTCCCTGTACTACCCACTCTGGAGCATCCCGGGCAAGCCCACCCCAGCTGAGTGTCTGTCTCCCTTTTGCAGGGTGAGGGGCAGCGTCTGCGAGCTCCACCTTTCCCTGCTCCAAGTCTAGGGAAATCTTTGCCAAGGTCTAGGGAGGCTTAAAATAGACCAGGGGCGGGAGAGTCGGCTGCTGTGAGTCAAGGCAGGAGAATAGGGGTTGCAGGTAGAGCTTCCTTTTAAAGACAAATTGACAGAGTGACAGGGTAACAAGAGTGTATTGTTACCTGGAACTTTCCACAATGTGTTGGTGCACTTTCTGGGACACTCCCGGAAACCCCTCCTGGTGACGTTGTCATTCCAGGAGCCTGAATGTGTCCTCAGTGGCATAGTGTGGGTGATACGCCCAGGGTCTCTCCCCGTCGCTCCCCCTCCCCTGCCATGTCCAGAGCCCCAAGCTGGGGCCCATGGTCTATGGAACGCCACCTCTTTTGTGGTCCCGTCCCCAGCACACACAGACAATGCACCTGCTTGGGCCCAGGGAGTGGGGAGAGGGCAGGGGCGTAGGCCATGCCCAGCCAGGCAGGGATGAGCCCAGGGCTGTGGGTGCAGGGCCTGGGGCCCCTGCAGAGCAGGCAGTGGTGCCAGTGATGTGGTGAGGTTCCCTGCCCTGGGGCAGAGGCAACAGTTTCTCAGACAGCATCTCCTCAGTTTCTGCAGTTTCCGCGGCTGGGCTTTCGGGAGACCCAGGAGGTGCTGGAAGTGACCACCCAGGTTCCCAGATCATAGACTAGCCAGGCCAGGGAGCGGACAGGGTCTCTGCCCCCAAGTTCCCCCCTCCCTCCTGCACCCCAGCCCAGCCCTGGGTGAATGTCTAATGGCAACATGCCAGATGGGTACCCCAGAAGCCAGTGCCCAGGTCAGGTTAGCTCCCCTGGTACCCAGATCACTGGCACACACGGAGGTGGGGTCTCCACTGGGCCTGCTCCTGCCAACCCCGGACCCCTAGCCCCTGCCACCTGGGAGTATGGACAAATCCAGGCAGCCCCCACCAGCAGAGCCCCTCGCATGACCTCCTGATACCCCTCCTACCTGGTCAACCTCAGGGACAAGCCGGGAGGTTGCTTCAGAGAAAAGGGCGTGGGGGAGGAAGGGCAGGCACTGCCCTAGGAAGCACCGTGGGCTCCCACTCAGGGCTGTGGCCAGAAGAAGCTGTCAGCTGGTGTCTCCAGGACACACCGTCTGCGGCGTCTGACCCCCTTGCCCCCACCCGCTGTCAGCCTGCACATGCTTGGGGGACAGGCATGGCTCCTGTGCCGCCTTCTTGAGTGTTGGAGCTTGAAGTCTCCCTAGGGTGTCCAGGAGTCCTGACCCGGCTCAGAGCCTGCCAGGGAGGGGCCAGGGAGTCTGGAGAGGCCCAGGATGCCTGTGGTGGGGGGCACTGGGATACCTGGGGGTGGCACAGGGATGCCTGCTGGTGGAGGGCAAACAAGGATGCCTGTCAGGGGCGCTGTGATGTGGGTTGGTGGAGGGGGCAGTACAGGGATGCCCACTGAGGGGACACAGTGATGTCTGACCAGCAGAGAGCAGGGGTCTCCTCCTACCCCACCTTCCATCCTCCCCGCCTTCCATCCTCCCCGCCTTCCATCCAACGGTCCTCCCAACCTCTTCCCAGGGGAGGTCCTCCTCACCTCACCTTCGTGCCCCCCAAGCTGCACTGCCCACCTCCCCTGCTCCACCCGTACTCAGGCCCTGGTGCATTGCAGGATGGACAATGGGGAGGCCTGCTTCATTCTCAGCAGCAGGAACGAGGTGGACCGCACGGCCGCGGTGAGTGAAGCTGAGGCCCTGCCCAGGCGGGAAGGGCACCGTGGAGCTGGGGAGCGGGGTCCACGAGGGAGGAGACCTGCCCCAGGCTGCTGGTGCCGCCCAGCAACCCACAGAGGCCAGCCCGTCTGCACTGACCAACCACTCACCCCGCCAGGACCACCAGACCATCCTGCGTGCCTGGGCCGTGAAGGACTTCGCCCCCAACTGCCCCCTCTACGTCCAGATCCTCAAACCTGAAAACAAGTTTCACGTCAAGTTTGCCGGTACGTCTGGGGCAGGGCGAGTGCACACGTGGGTGACGGTGCATCTGGGACAGTTGTGCGTGTGTGTGCACGGGTGACAGTGCTTCTGGGGTAGGTGTGCGTGTGCGCACGGGTGCTGGCGCGTATGGGGCAGGGCGCAAGTGCGCATGCGGGTGCCGGTGCATCTGGGGTAGGGCGCAAGTGCGCACACGGGTGACAGCGGGTCTGGGGCAGGGCGTGTGTGCGCGCGTGGGTGAGCTGTGAGGGGGAGCGGGAGGGGCCGGCCCTGGAGCTCCACACACAAGCACACCAGGAGGTGCTGGAGGGGACGGCGGACCCCCATCCTCACCGCATCCGAGAAGGGACCTAGGGGTTCCGACCTCTTCAGATGAACCGTCTTACGCTGGGGCCCTGGGGTCAGTGAAGGCAGGGTCAGAGGTCAGGTGGGGGCAGGAGCACCATCTGATGAGCAGGGTGGGCAGGGACCTATGGGCAGGGACCACGCTGGGTGCCTGGGGGACAGGGGTCAGGCCCCATGCCAGGTACACAGGGGACGGGGTCAGGGACCACATTGAGTGCCCAGAGCACAGGGGCCAGGGACCGCCCAGCCCTGGAGCTCCTCACTGAGCTGGGAGAGAAGCTTAGGAACGATGGAAGGTCTACCGAGGCTCAGACTGAGGAGGGGGTTGGGGTCCAGAGACTCTGGGGATGGTGATGCTGGAGCTGGACAGCAGACACGTGGGGGGTCCAGGGGGACACCAGGCGAGGGCGCGTCTGCACAGCACCTTCAGGAAGTGAGCAGGTGCTGTGGGGAAGGAGAGAGCCGGCAGGGCAGCAGGTGGACTGGCCTACCCCACTGCCCGCAGACCACGTGGTGTGTGAGGAGGAGTGCAAGTATGCCATGCTGGCGCTGAACTGCATCTGCCCGGCCACCTCCACCCTCATCACCCTGCTGGTGCACACGTCCCGCGGCCAGTGAGTGCCCCGTGCCCCGCGGGACCGACCTCCGTGGCCCGGCCGGCGCAGGGAGACAAGGCAGGGCCTGCGTGGGGGCGGGGACGGGCTTCCCGGAGGAGGGGCGCATGGTGGGCAAAAGTCCTGCACAGGGAGGGGGTCCATGCCAGGGGAAGCGGAGGGACCACCTGCAGACCCGGCCGGGCAGGAGGGGCAGCCACGGCCGAGGGTGACGCTCCCCTGGCCCCGCTCCGGCCCACAGGGAGGGACAGGAGTCCCCGGAGCAGTGGCAGCGCATGTACGGACGCTGCTCGGGCAACGAGGTGTACCACATCCGCATGGGTGACAGCAAGTTCTTCCGCGAGTACGAGGGCAAGAGCTTCACCTACGCGGCCTTCCACGCCCACAAGAAGTAAGGCCGGGCCGCGGCTATAGGGCTGGCACTCCGGGGCTGCTCTGTGCCATCCGCACCCACCCGGTCAGGCACAGGAGTGGCCCTGGGGCAGGGCTGCAGAGGGCTCAGGGGCAGGGCATCAGGTCATCTTGCCTGGCGAGGGCAGCCGCAGGACTGGGCTCCGGGTCCACGTAAAAACCTGCCACGTGGCTCCTCCCTGAGGCTCATGGGCTGACCCCGCTCTCTGGTCCCCAACACCTCTGGGACGGGAGGGCTCGGCCAAGGTCCCTGACCCCAGATGGTCCCCAGGAGGAAGATGCGGAGCTCCAGTGGGGACTCTGGTGATTCGCAGGAAGGGCAGGCAGGGGGTGGGACGGGGCGGGCGAGCGGCAGGGCCTGAAGTGCTAGTGCCCCCGCCCAGGTATGGCGTGTGCCTCATCGGGCTGAAGCGAGAGGACAACAAGAGCATCCTGCTGAACCCGGGGCCCCGGCACATCCTGGCCGCCTCGGACACCTGCTTCTACATCAACATCACCAAGGAGGAGAACTCAGCCTTCATCTTCAAGCAGGAGGAGAAGCGGAAGAAGAGGGCCTTCTCAGGGCAGGGGCTGCACGAGGGTCCAGCCCGCCTGCCTGTGCACAGCATCATTGCCTCCATGGGTGAGCCAGGGCAGGCGCGCGGGACTCCCTGGGGCCGCTCCTCTGGTGAGAGACCAGGTGGGACAAGGGCAGGTGACCAGGCGGGGCGGGAGACCAGCCAGTGTGGCCTCCAGACCCAGCTCCTCTTGGCCTGTGCCTCCAACCTTGGATAAGTGGAGTCTCTCTGGGCCTGTTTTTGAATCTGTCAAACAGGGGTGTCCCCACCTTTCTGTGGCCACCTTTGTGGGCATTACTCACTGTGTCCAAGTGGAGCCGCCCACAGGACTGGTTGGCAGCTCAACTGGAGGCTCCTGGTGGTCCCATCAGCTCAGAGGGTCTTCTTCACATGTGTCCCTCAAATAGTTGGGGACCCTGACGTCCAATGGGGCCAGGAGTTGGCGGGATGAGGTCGCGGTGGCCGAGGGCTTTGGCCTCTTATCGTGCCTTCAGGGATCCTCCCGGGGTGCCACATGCCAGGCAGGGTCAGGCTACCTCTGAGCAGGTGCAGGCCCGTGGCCCCAAGGGCAGCACCTACAATGCTATTGCCGCCCCCTCAGCCAGGCCTTCCTGGGGGACAGTTAGGGAGCAGGGCCAGGCCAGGAAGCCACTCAGGCCACAGACCCACGGCCGGGCCAGGGCATTGTTGCCTCCGTACAGTGGCCCAGGCAGAGGCTGACCCTGTGGGCACCCCTGCACACCCACCCTGCGGGTTGTTACACGGTGGCTGCTGGGGCACCAGGTGGTTCAGTGCAGTGGGGCACAGTCTCCAAGACCCAGAGGGCCCTGGGGTTTGGAGACGTGCTGATGCAGAGCCTGCCGCCTGCCAGACCCCACAGGTTGGCGGCCCCGTCTACGGCAGCTCACTCGGGGGGCCGGGCCTGGCCACAGGGCACTGGGGAGGCAGGCTGCCGCTGCCTAGCCACACCTCCACCTTTACCTGCACGGTGGGCACTCTGCCCCCAGGTGGCTTCCAGGAAACTAGGGTGACTCGGGCAACCCTCACTGCACCCACAGGGGCCCTGGGCCATACCTGGACGTCCACAACCGCCACCTGGCAGCCTGGGGGTGGCGCAGGAGTGACAGAGTCTGCTCCCGCAGGCACTGAGTGACCTGGCTGCTCCCCACCTGGCCCTGTCCGCCAGGCAGCCTGACCAGCTGCCCGGGCCCCCAAGGCTGGGACCCCAACCCTAGGATCAGCCAACCCCCTCCTCAGGCAGCTGCTACTGAGGCCACAGCAGCTGGCCTGGGTGGTACCGATGGGGCACTGAGGTCCCCTGGGTCTTCGCTCAACATCACCCCAGAGGCCGCTGTCCCCGTTGTATGGAGGGGGAAACTGAGGCATAGAGAGATTGAAGCTCACCAGCTGGAGCACAGGAGCCAGGCCGTGACAGGGTCTGCAGAGATGACTGTGTTTGCCTGAGCTCTGGGAACTCGCCGCCTCTGGAGGGTGGGAGTCGGGCTGCAGCCAAGCACAGGGCTCTCTTCCAGGGACGGTGGCCATGGACCTGCAGGGCACGGAGCACCGGCCCACGCAAAGCGGTGGGGGGGGCGGGGGCAATAAGCTGGCACTGCCCACGGAGAATGGCTCGGGCAGCCGGCGGCCCAGCATCGCGCCCGTCCTGGAGCTGGCCGACAGCTCAGCCCTGCTGCCCTGCGACCTGCTGAGCGACCAGTCAGAGGACGAGGTGACGCCTTCGGACGACGAGGGGCTCTCCGTGGTAGAGTGAGTACTGCCTTGGAGATGGCTCCCAGTGGGGGGAGGAGCCGCCGTGAGTGCAGGGGAGGGGAGCGTCGGAGCCGCCTTGGTGGTCCCCCATGCTCTGAACTGCAGCTTCTGGACAACTCCGTGGAAGTCCTTGTTTGACAAATGGAACCTTCAGGGGACCTGACACAGACATCAGAGCCACAGCACTCTTGTCCCCAGGGAGCACTTAGAGTGTCACTGAGATGGGGGTGTGCTGGGCTGCACCCTTCCCAGTTGGGGCTGGGGGTGCAAAGCTAACTGAGGTGAGGCAGCGCTCACTGGGGCAGGGGCTGTGTGTCAGGCACCGGGTAGCACCATCCTCGGAGAGGGGCCCGTTCCCATCCACCTCACCAGCCCCACAGTGGTCCGGTCACTCTCCGAATCAGGATGGAGCCGGGCAGTGACCCCAGGCCATCTCATCCACCCAGTGCCTTAGGTCTCCCCCTGAGCACCACAGAGCGCAGAGAGGCACAGCCCGCCTGACCAAGGGTGGGTATCCTCTGAGCAGGGTCCCTGTGCAACCCCTGGGCAAGGTGGCACCACAGCCCATCCTGAGCTGTTGTCCTGGCCTAGCTTTGGAGCCAAATCCTCCGGCTTCCAATGATAAGACAGGAGGCCCCACTCTGTTCTCAGCAGCTTCTGCCTCTTGGTCTCAGCCAGGACAGACAAGTGCCCCAACGGCAGGGCCCAAGGGCCCGTCCTCAGCGGGGCTGCCTCACTCTGCCCTGGCCTTCGCCTCTGGGGTTGGGTCAACGCACTGTGATGACAGCCCGTCATTTCCCAGCTGCCGGGAAACAGCCCGGAACCATCGCATGTGTGTGTTGGGTGCTGCTGAGGACGAGTGGTGGCTGACTGGGGACAACAGCCTGGCTGGAAAAGTGTGTGGCTAAGAGCCCAAGGCCAGAGTGCCTGCCCCTCCAGCCTGGGGTGCTGGGGACGTCAGGGAGGCGTGGCCGGCGGGCAGAGCCCTGTGGGTTTGGCCTGTGGCTGCTAAGTCTCATCTAAGCTATGGTGGGGGGAGAAAGACCACGCAGGGCATGGGGGTGGATGTGTGAGGGGGGGGTGTTCTGTGTGTCCATGTATGTGTGGTGTATGTTGTGTGTGGTGTGTGTCCATATGTGTGATGTGTGTGGTGTGTCAATGTGTGTGGTGTCACATGTGTGTTTGTGGTGTGTGGGTGTGTGGTATATGTGTCCATGTGTGTGGTGTGTGTTGTGTCTGTGTGGTGTATGGTGTGTTGTGTGTGGTGTGTGCATGTGTGTTTTGTGTGTGTGGTGTGTGGAGTGTGTCCATGTGTGGTGTGTGTTGTGTCTGTTGTGTGTGTGGTATGAGTTGCATATTTGTGTCTGTGGTGTGTGGTGTGTTGTGCGTCTGTGTGTTGTGTCTGTGTTGTGTTGGTGTGTGGTGTCTGTGTATTGTGTCTGTGTGTCCGTGTGTGGTGCATGTTGTGTCTGTGTGGTGTGTTGTGTATGTTGTGTCTGTGTATGTTGTGTGTGGCCCCTCCAGCCTGGGGTGCTGGGGACGTCAGGGAGTGGTGGGTCAAGTGGCAGAGCTCCTGTGGGTTTGGCCTGTGGCTGCTAAGTCTCATCTAAGCTGTGGTGGGGAGAAAGACTAATGCAGGGCATGGGGGTGGATGTGAGGGGGTGTTCTGTGTGTGTCCATGTATGTGTGGTGTATGTTGTGTGTGGTGTGTGTCCATATGTGTGATGTGTGTGGTGTGTCAATGTGTGTGGTGTCACATGTGTGTGTGTTTGTGGTGTGTGGGTGTGGTATATGTGTCCATGTGTGTGGTGTGTGTTGTGTCTGTGTGGTGTATGGTGTGTTGTGTGTGGTGTGTGCATGTGTGTTTTGTGTGTGTGGTGTGTGGAGGTCTCATGTGTGGTGTGTGTTGTGTCTGTTGTGTGTGTGGTATGAGTTGCATATTTGTGTCTGTGGTGTGTGGTGTGGGTTAAAAGGCCTGTGTGTTGTGTCTGTGTTGTGTTGGCGTGTGGTGTCTGTGTATTGTGTCTGTGTGTCCGTGTGTGGTGCATGTTGTGTCTGTGTGGTGTGTTGTGTATGTTGTGTCTGTGTATGTTGTGTGTGGGTTGTGTGTGGTGTGTGTTGTGTCTGTTGTATATGTCTGTGTGTGTGGTGCATGTTGTGTATGTTGTGTGTGGTGCATGTTGTGTCTGGTGTGTGTGGTGTGTTGTGGGTTGTGTCTGTGTGTGGTGCATGTTGTCTGTGTGTGGTGTGTTTGTGTGTCTGTGTGTTGTGTGTTGTGTCTATGTGTGTCCATGTGTGGTGCATGTTGTGTCTGTGTGGTGTGTGTGTTGTGTATGTTTTGTGTCCATGTGTGTGTTGTGTGTGTGGTGTGTCTGGGTGTGTTGTGTGTGGTGCATGTTGTGTGTGTGTGGTGTGTATGTTGTGTGTCCGTGCACATGGTGCACGTGTGCATACGTCAGCATGTGTTCATTTCTGTGTGCATGTGTTGTGTGTACGTCCTGGTGTGTCCATTTCCGTGTGCCTGTATGTGGCCATGTGTTGTGTGTGCATGTGTCTGGATGTGTCCATCTCCATGTGTCCGTCTCCACTGTGCGTGTGTGTTGGGTGGAGGCTCACCCCAGACCCTCAGGGAAGGGTGGGCCCAGGGTACCGCCTGCCTGGTCCCCCCCAGAGTAGCTGAGGGCTGACCACGCGGGTTCCTGAGTTGATAGGTGAGGGGCGAGGCCCACCGCCACCCCCTCCCACACCTGGGTGAGGGCAGCAGCAATGAGGGCCCTGCCCACCCTCCAGTCCCCTCCAGTCCCCCCCAGTCCCCCAAGGCCCCGGTAGGGCCAAGTCCATGCCTCCCCAGCCCTGGCCTTGCAGCCGCTGCTGACCCATCAGGCAGGCACGAATCCTGAAGGTTTGGCACCTGTGTGGGTGCCCTGGGCACTGCCCTCACTGCCCTGCAGGACACACTGGGTTCTGGGTGCCAAGACTGGGCAGGCCCCACGACATGGTGATCACAGGCTCAGCTGGAGGAACATTTGCTGATGCACAGGTGGTTGAGGGAAGAACAGGCCACCTTGGACCAGCTGTGCGTGACCCCGAGCAACGTGGCTGTGGGTGGAGTGGGTGCCCTCGAGTCCCCCAGCCCGGGGCGGGGTCCAGAGCAGACCCAGCCACCTGTGTGCAGCTGTGCTGAGGGCTCCTGTCTCCTGCCCCAGGTACGTGAAGGGCTACCCTCCCAACTCGCCCTACATCGGCAGCTCCCCAACCCTGTGCCACCTCCTGCCTGTGAAGGCCCCCTTCTGCTGCCTGCGGCTGGACAAGGTAAGGCTGGCGGCTCTGCCGCACTCTGCGCCCCCAGACGCCAGCACCGGGCCATGCACACCTGTCCTGGTTTCTCTTTGGTCACTTTACATTTTGATATCATTGCAAACTTCTAGCAAAGCTGCAAGAATACTACAAGGGAGAGCCGCAGACCCTTCACCCAGATTCAGCAGACGTTCCCTTCCCGTCCCGTGTGGGCTCTCCCTCTCCCAGTTTCTATGTTAGAGGCCCGTGTTTTCTGAACCATTTTGAGAACAGGTTGGAGCCACCACACCCCTTTCCCCTAATACATCCACATGCCTTCCCAAAGATGAAGAACCATCTTGTAACCACAGTTCATTAGGACAGGGACCCTGGCCCGGCATGAGCGTCTGATCCACTGTCCAGGTTCAGATTGTGCCGAGGGCCCGACAGCCTTCAGTATCCTGCGTGACAGTGTATTCCCCGCTGGGAGCCTGTCCCGGCTGCGTCTTAGCACTCCTTCCTCATTACTCTCCGTTAATCTGGAATGTTCCCTGGGGTCTCCTGACCTTAATATTTTTGCAGAGCGGGGACCAGTGACTTGGTGGCAGGTGGGTCTGCCGATGTTTCTTGGTGGTGGGACTCTGCCTGCATGTGGGGCCAGACCTCCCTGGAAACTCGGGGGTCAATTGTCAGGTCACTGGCGATGTTAACTTGGATCTGGTGGCAAACTGGGGTCAGCAGGTTTCCCCACTGTGAAAATCACTGTTTTCCTTCTGGAGTTAGCAGCTTCTCTGTGGGGGACGTGTTGGGATCAGGAGAGCAAACTGTTTGACCCGGCAGCTTCAGCATCCATCAATGGGTTCATTTTTGTTTATTTGTTGTTTGGTTTCTTTTTTTGAGACAGGGTCCCACTCTGTCATCCAGGCTGGAGTGCAGTGGTGGGATCATAGCTCGCTACAGCCTCCACCTCCCAGGCTCAACGGGTCCTCCCACCTCAGCCTCCTGAGTGGCTGGGACCACAGGCACACACCACCACACCTGGCTAATTTTATTTTTATTTTTGTAGCGATGGGGTCTCCCTATGTTGCCCAGGCTAGTCTCGAACTCCTGGACTCAAGTGATCCTCCCACCTCGGCCTCCCAAAGTGCTGGGGTTACAGGCATGAGCCACCACGCCGGCCATCAGTGGATGGTTTCCAGTTCCGGAATCTCTCCAGCTGTGTGTTAGGGCTCAGCCACAAAGGGGACCTGCTCTTCCCCATGTGTGTGTCCTTCACGGACCATGGGCTCCCAGTGTATTCTGTGGGTTGTAATCTGTGGCTGGTCATTGCAGCAGCAGCATCCTTGACAGATCGTTATTGATTCTGATGCTCAGACCCCCTGGGTTCGCTGGGTGGGGTGGGGGCCTTCAAGTGGCTTCTGGGTGCTTCTGGCATGACCCCCTCACCCTTTGAGCTCATCTGTGCTTTCCAACCGGAGAGGTTCCAGCCACATCTTGGCCTTCCCCTGCTGCAGTCTGGAATGAACCACTTCTCCAAGGAAGCCTGATTCCTTTTAGTGGAAAATGATGATTGGAAACCAAGATCTGGGCATGTAGCATGCTCATGGCTGCTGGCGTCCCCGCCCTGAGCCTCGTGGTGGACAAAACAAGAAAAAGTGTGTGCACACACACGACACGTATCTGTGCCCATGCCTAGATCTCCAGCCACGTGCCAAAACCACATGTTCACATGGACACCGCCCTTTCCACCCCTGACATGACTCTGCTCTGTGCCACCTGTGGGCACAGCTGTAGCATCTGGTGGTGCCTGTAGCTCCCACCAGGCGCATGTAGGCCATGAAAGGGCCGTGGGCCGAGAGGCTGACGGCTGGGTGTTCAGGGGGGTTGTTTGGTGAGGGGTGTGGGAGGGCTCCCGTGGCCAGCAGGAGCCAGCCCTGATTCCAGCACCTGCCGCCAGGGCTGCAAGCACAACAGCTATGAAGACGCCAAGGCCTACGGGTTCAAGAACAAGCTGATCATCGTCTCGGCAGAGACGGCCGGCAACGGGCTGTACAACTTCATCGTGCCACTGCGGGCCTACTACAGATCCCGCAAGGAGTTAAACCCCATTGTGCTGCTGCTGGACAACAAGTGAGGCTCCTGGGGCTCTGCCCCCCCCCCCGCCCCCCCCGCCCACCCGGGCCCTCAGACCTGCAGCCAGCAGCCTCCCCGACTGGGCCCACCCTTCACCTTTGCAGAGGGCACGGGAACATGGGGCCTCTGGCCTGGTCCTCTCAGCTTTCCCAAAAAGGGGGGCTCTCGACGCCAAGGCCTACGGGTTCAAGAACAAGTTGATCATCGCTCGCAGAGACGGCCGGCAACGGTTGTACAACTTCACTGCGGCCGCCATGGCCTAGCCATAGGATCTCCGCAAGGAGTTAAACCTCATTCGTGCTGCTGCTGGACAACAAGTGAGGCTCCTGGGGCTCTGCTCCTCTCTACCCGGCCTCAGACCTGCAGCCAGCAGCCTCCCGACTGGGCTCCACCCTTCACCTTGCAGAGGGCACGGGAACATGGGGCCTCTGGCCCGGTCCTCTCAGCTTTCCCAAAAGGGCTCTCCTCCCTGCTCCCAGCTCCTCCTGCTCCCAGCTCCTCCCCACTCCCAGCCCTCCCACTCCCACTCCTGCCCCAGCTCCTCTGACTCCCAGCTCCTCCCCACTCCTACTCCTGCTCCCAGCTCCTCTGACTCCCAGTTCCTCCCCACTCCCAGCTCCTCCCCCACCCCAGCTCCTCCCCACTCCCAGCTCCTGGCTCCCAGCCCCTCCCCCACTCCCAGCCCTCTGGCTCCCAGCTCCTCCCTCACCCCAGCTCCTCTGGCTCTCAGCTCCCTCCCCACTCCCAGCCTCTAGCTCCCGTGCCTTCCTCACTCCCAGCCTCTGGCTCCCAGCTCCTCCTCACTCCCAGCTCCTCTGGCTCCCAGCTCCTCCCCACTCCCAGCTCCTCTGGCTCCCAGCTCCTCCCCACTCCCAGCTCCTCTCCACTCCCAGCTCTTCCTCACTCCCAGCTCCTCTGGCTCGCCCTCCCCACTCCCAGCCTCCTCACTCCCAGCTCCTCCAGCCCCAGCTCCTCCTCACCCCAGCCTCCTCTGGCCCCCAGCTCCTCCTCACTCCCAGCTCCTCTTGGCTCCAGCCTCCCTGCTCCCAGCTCCCCAGTTCCCAGCTCCACCCCCGCTCCCAGCTCCTCCTTGCTTCCTACTCCCCAGCTCCCAACTCCTCCCCACTCCCAGCCCTCCCCACTCCCAGCTCCTCCCCCACTCCTACTCCTGCTCCCAGCCTCTTGACTCCCAGTTCCTCCCCACTCCCAGCTCTTTCCCCACTCCCAGCTCCTCTAGCTCCCAGCTCTTCCTCACTCCCAGCTCCTCTGGCCTCAGCTCCTCCTCACTCCCAGCTCCTCTGGCTCCCAGCCCCTCCCCCACTCCCAGCTCCTGGCTCCCAGCTCCTCCCCCACTCCCAGCTCCCTCCACTCCCAGCTCTTCCTCACTCCCCAGCTCCTCTGGCTCTCAGTTCTCCCCCACTCCCAGCTCCTCCCCCACTCCCAGCTCCTCCCAGCTCCCAGCCTCCCTCACTCCCAGCTCCTCTGGCTCCTGCCTCACTCCCCAGCTCCTCTGGCTCCCAGCTCCTCCCCTACCCCAGCTCCCCCAGTTCAGCTCTACCCCGCTCCCAGCTCCTCCTCTGCTTCCTACTCCCCAGTTCTGCAACTCCTCCCCACTCTGTTCCTCCCCACTCCCAGTTCCTCCCCACTCCCAGGTCTTCCCCACTCCCAGCTCTTCCCCACTCCCAGCTCTTCCCCATTTCCAGCTCCTCTAGCTCCCAGCTCCTCCTTGCACCAGCTCCTCTCCACTCCCATTTCCTCTGTCTCCCAGCTCCTCCCTGCTCTCAGCTCCTCCCTGCTCTCAGCTCCTGTGGTTCCCAGCTCCTCCCACTCCGGTCATCTCTCTCCCTTTCCCCCTCCTCCCTTGTCACTCCTTCTGTCCTATTAGCCTCCTGCTCCACTCACTCTGAGCCCCAGGATCTTCCTCCCAGGCACCTTTTTGCCTAGGGGACCCCTTTTTGTACCTCTTTGCCTAGGGGACCCCGGGACCCTGACAGCTGAGCCCAGGGTCATCTTGGCTGTGTGACCTCAGCAAGTCCCACCCTCCCGGGCCTTGGTTTCCCCTTGAATAAAATAAAGAATGGCCTACTGGCCTTAAAGCACCCCCCAGGTCCCATACACTGCGGTTCTGGGGAACCCCTGCCTGACCCAGCTCTGCGCATGGAGGGTAGGGCCCCCCGGGCCTGGGGAGGGCGGGCCTTGGAGCCGGGTGGAACCCTCCAGGACTGCTGTCCCCACAGGCCCGACCACCACTTCCTGGAAGCTATCTGCTGCTTCCCCATGGTCTACTACATGGAGGGCTCCGTGGACAAGTAAGGCGTGGCTGGCCGTGGCTCGAGGGGGCTCCACACCCACCCCTCCCCTCCCCTCTTCCAAAGTCTGGGGTGGCCCCGACTGCAGGTGGGGTGGGGGGCTGAGGTCCTCCTGCCTTCTGACCAAATCCCGGGGGCCCGTGGGTGGGGAGTGGGCCGCATCCTCAGCTACGGGCTCCCGGTCCCGCCACCAGCCTGGACAGCCTGCTGCAGTGCGGAATCATCTATGCGGACAACCTGGTGGTGGTGGACAAGGAGAGCACCATGAGCGCTGAGGAGGACTACATGGCGGACGCCAAGACCATCGTCAACGTGCAGACCATGTTCCGGTGCGCCCAGCGTCCGGGGCTCGGCTCCAAACCACCCCACAGCCACCACCACAGGCCCCCGCCCCGAGACCCCCACAGCCATGACCACGGGCCCCCGCCCCAAGACCCCCACAGCCACGACCACGAGCCCCCACCCTGAGACCCCCACAGCCAAGACCATGGGCCCTGCCCTGAGACCCCCACCCACAGCCACACGATCATGGGCCCCCACCCTGAGACCTCCCACAGCCACCGTGGCCCCACCCTGAGACCTCCCACAGCCACCGTGGCCCCGCCCTGAGACCTCCCACAGCCACTGTGGCCCCGCCCTGAGACCTCCCACAGCCACCGTGGCCCCGCCCTGAGACCCCCACAGCCACGACCACAGGTTGCCACCCTGAGACCCCCAGAGCCATGACCATGGGACCCCACCCTGAGACCCCCATAGCCAAGACCATGGGCCCTGCCCTGAGACCCCGCCCACAGTCACACGATCATGGGCCCCCACCCTGAGACCTCCCACAGCCACAATGGCCCCACCCTGAGACCCCCACAGCCACAATGGCCCCGCCCTGAGACCTCCCACAGCCACAATGGCCCCGCCCTGAGACCCCCACAGCCACAATGGCCCCACCCTGAGACCCCCACAGCCACCGTGGCCCCACCCTGAGCCGCCTCCGCCTCCCCCAGGCTCTTCCCCAGCCTCAGCATCACCACGGAGCTCACCCACCCTTCCAACATGCGCTTCATGCAGTTCCGCGCCAAGGACAGCTACTCTCTGGCTCTTTCCAAACTAGAAAAGGTGAGCAGCCCTGCCCCATGCCAGCTGCCACCCCAGGAGCCCAGAAAGAGTGGGAGAAAGGGGCTCGGGGAAAGGGGGCCAGTGCCATGGGAGGCGGGGCTCCTGCCCCCTCCTGCTGGGGAGCTCAGGAGAAGGGGTGGGGGCCCAGCGTGGACAGGGGGCTCTTCATGGTGGAGCCAGGAGGTGGAGGCAGGGCGTTTCCCTGACCTTGTGTGGGGCACTGGGAATGTGGCCCGTAGCAGCCCTCCGTCTCCCTGAGCAGGGACCGGGCCTGGCCGTGTCTAGAGGCCAAGGCCATCTGTTCTGGGATGGTCAGTTGGTCAGAACCCCCGTAGGGAGCCCTCAGATTGGTGGTTCCACATAGTTGGGCTGGTAGCACTTAGTACAAGTAACACACACGGCTGTGCCCTTCCAGACTCCTCCGCTGCCCCGGCCGCTATGCCCGACCTTGAAACAGGTTCACTGTGACCATTGCCTCCTTGTATTGACAAGGGACCGAGGGTCTGAGAGGGAAGGAGCTTGCCCTGGATCGCACAGTGTAGCAAGTGGCTGGGCCGGAACAGGCTTTCTGCCCCGGGAGCTCCATGACGAGCACCACCCAGGCTCAGGTGTAGAACGCAGGGGCACCAGCGCTGTTGCTGTTGCCTTGATGTGTGGCTGACCCCAGCCCCACCCCATTCCCCACCTGCTGAGGCTGGGGCAGCACCACCTTGTCCACACGGGGGCTGGCGCCCGGGCAGCCCTAGGTTGAGACCAGGGAGTGGGCACCTTGGTCAGGAGCAGCAATGCTGTCTGATCCACACAAACCCCGAACTCACCGGTCTGGGCTGATGTCCTCATCCGCGAGCTGCTGGGGCTTGCATCGCTGGAGGAGTGTGACATCGTGTCTGATCCACACAAACCCCGAGCTCATCGGTCTGGGCTGATGTCCTCATCTGCAAGCTGCTGGGGCTTGCGTCGCTGGAGGAGAGAGACACCGTGGAGGAACTACTGAGCCAGGCCAGGCCTGACCACTGACACCAGGCAGAGGACACACACGGGCACTGCCTGCGACATGGACACGGCTTTGTCCCACCTGAACCTGATGGAGAGTGAAAGTGTGTTCCGGCCAGCCACAGACCAAGAGCCCATAGGGATCCTGGAGTCGGTTCTGCCCCAGAGAGACGCGAGGAGGCCGGGCTGGTCAGCCACCAGGTCAATAGGGGCACCTGCCTCGGAGATGCCAGCCTGAGGCATAGGGGGACGCTCGGGCAGCTGGTCTCACCACAGGAGAGGGCTCTGTCTGCCCTGCCCGCCACCCAAGCCCACCCTAGAGCCTGCCCTGCCCGGTGTCGGGAGCTCCTGGCCCCAGTCCCCAGCTCAGCCGGCAGAGGGGTGCGCTCTGCAGCTCGAACCGTGCAAGGGGAAGAAGTTTGCAGGATTCTGTGTTCAGGGGGCCAGGCCGCTCCCCAGGGCTGGGAGGACTCTCCAGATCTGGAAGACCGAGTCTGACCCAGTGTGGACCGGGGGGCTGCCGTGCAGCGGGGCCCAGGTAGTCATCCTGGCGCAGCTCCTCTGGCCTCAGCCTGGCACCTCTCTGTCCCACAAGATGGCTTGAAGGTTGGGTCAGCAAGCACGTGGCCAACACGCTCCTACCTGCCTTCCCACCAGGCAACCATTGCCAATCACCCCCCCTCCGCCCACTGTGGAGCCCCAGCTCCTTCCCCAGCTTCACCACCACCGGGGCCCTGTGCTGCCAGGGCGGGTGCGGCCAGCTCCCCACCTCAGGGCAGTGAACAGTCCTGCGCCTCCAGCTCCAGTCATGTGGTTCTGCGGCAGTTGTGTGACAGGGACCAAGCAGAAGTCAGGGAGAAGTCCTCCAAGGAGAAGTCAGGATGTCAGCAAAGCCCCTGGAAGCAGCCATGAGTTCCTCTGGGCTGACATGGTGCTGGGGTCCACGTGGGACAGACACCCTGGGCCCTGGGCAGGGCCAGGCATACACAGAGACGTGGGTCCAAGGGAAGAGAGGGCACCGTGGACCACCGACCCATCGCCCTCTGGAGAGGCTGGGATCTGCCTCCCTGGCATGCAAGGATCCTGTAGAAGGAACCAGGGGCCGCGTCTTCTCCAGCCTGGGTGGCCTTGGCGCCAGCTTCCCCGTGGGTCTCTCTGACAGGCCAGCATATGGTGACCTGCTTCCAAGAGGGACACCTGTGGCAGCTTCAGACCCTTATTTAAAAGACATTAGGCTGGGCGCGGTGGCTCAAGCCTGTAATCCCAGCACTTTGGGAGGCCGAGATGGGTGGATCACCTGAGGTCAGAAGTTCAAGACCAGCTTGGCCAACATGGAGAAACCCTGTCTCTACCAAAGACACGAAAAGTAGCCGGGCGTGGTGGCGCACGCCTGTAATCCCAGCTACTTGGGAGGCTGGGGCAGGAGAATTGCTTGAACCCATGAGGCAGAGGTTGCAGTGAGCCGAGATTGTGCCACTGCACTCCAGGCTGGGCGACAGAGTGAGACCCTGTCTCAAAAAACAAAGCAAAAGAATAAAACTATTATTAAGGATGCTGCCAGCGGGCTGACATGCATCCCCCTCTTGAGGGCTGGCTCCGGAAGGTTCTCAGAGCCCCAGTGTGAGAGGAGCCTCTCCTGCAGCCCACCTCCCCTGTCGTCCACCTCCCCCGGTCTCCAGCGCCCAGGACTCCTCTGCCACTTCATTGCTTTCACATGGTCAGCTTGTGTGATCTCTCCTCACCAGGAGCCTTCCTTCAGGCTGGCTCTGCCCGTCCCGGGGCTGCACAGTGCCTGCCCTGCTCCCTCTGACCGGGGATCTCGTTCTCAGGAAGGGCTCATCCACCCCTGTGTGCTCCTGTCTTCGCTGTCACTTGTGAACGGGACCCGCTCAGCCCCTGCTGAAGCCCTCCTGTCCCTCCAGGGCCGCCACCTGCCGGGCCTTCAGCAGCACAAAGAAGTAGGTTCCTCGTCCAGAAAGCAGGAGGAAATCTCTGGAAGGTCCTGAAACATCCAGCTTTTTCCTTCCTTCCACGTCTCTCTCTGGCCCTGTCGTGGTTCTTGTTTCCTGTTTAGCGTTGTTCTGAGTAAAGGAAAATTAAAATTGCAAGTTGTTCAGGAATTTCACATTCATCTCCATGAAGTGCAGCTGGAATTCTGGATGCAAATCACCGTGATTGCAAACTCACACGCCCGTTGCAGCTCATCGCACCTGGTTCTTGCTCCAACAGTGGGAACGCCGCACGAAACTAACTCCGCTGTTTCTCACGCCCCAGCCTTCCCGCCAGCCACTGAGTAAGGGAGGACCGGAGGAAAAGGGGCTTCTACCTGATTGTCCTGTCGCTGTCATTTCTTTTATCTGTGAATCGAGTTCCGGTTCCAGGGGGAAGTGTGGCCTCCGTGGGCGCACACGCCTGCCTGTGCACACTTGCTTGGAGGCCGAGCTCCAGGGCTGGGGCTTTCCGCTGAAGAATGGCCCGAGAGATGGCCACGGCCGAGTCCGGAACCCGTGGATGTACCACCTCACGTGGCAAAAGGGCCTCTGCAAATGGGATTAAGTCATGGGCCTCAAGATGGGAGATTCCCCTGGAGCATCTGGCAGGTTCATGCCGTCAGAGTCCTTCTAGGGAGAGGCCGGAGGTCCCTGTCTGGTGGGAAGCAGCTGCACAGCCAGCTCAGAAGAGGGAGCCACGAGCCAAGGCAGGTGGCCTCCAGGAGCTGGAAAAGGCGAGAGAAGGAGCCCTCCAGGCATCCAGAGGGAGCAGGGCCCTGCCCGGGCCTGGATCCAGCCAGAGACACTTCAAACTCCTAAATCCAGAACCGGGAGAGAGGAGACAGGTGCCGTTTTAGCTGCTAAGTTTGCAGTCATTTGTTACGGGAGCCCCAGGAAACTCACACAGCGGGTCCATTGTGAGCCTGGAGCACCGGGACAGGAGGCCAAGGACAGCAGGCAGCCCGATGCTTGCTCCTCCTCAGCCCATGCCCCACGCGCCCTCCGACACCACTTAAAAAACACCAGGGCAGCAGAGGATTATCAGGATGATCTGGAATTTCGGGATGGCAAGAGCAGGGCACCTGACCGAACGCAGTGCCTATGGCAGCCGCTGGGAGTCTGCCTTCTCATCAGAGCCCCACATCACTGCTCCCGGGCTCTTGCCCTGACTGTGTCTGGGAAGATACACCTGGTTCAGGCCTGCTGGTGTGTGCACACATGCAGACACACACTGTGTACACATACACCATGCACATGTGCACACACAGTGCCCTCGCCTCCGTGGCTGCCGTGCCACTGAAGGGGACCTCAGCACCAGCCCACCTGAGGCCCCTCCTTTCCCACAGAGGGAGCGAGAGAACGGCTCCAACCTGGCCTTCATGTTCCGCCTGCCCTTTGCCGCCGGCCGCGTCTTCAGCATCAGCATGTTGGACACGCTACTCTACCAGGTCAGCTGGGAAGTGGCAGCAGGAGGGTGGCGCCTAGGTGGGACCCCCGGTCACGCCCTCGGCTCTGCAGCCTGGTCCCCACTCGGAGGGATAGGCCTCCCTCTGAATGACCTTCCCTGGATTCCAAGGAGACCTGTGGGCCCTGTCCTTGCCCCGGGGATTTCTGGGCCCTTTTTGACCTATGGGTGCCCGGCAAGTGCATTTTCTTAGAAAAGGCGTTCCAGAACTCTGCCTGTGGGTCATGTGGTGCTTGGGTACCTGGTGGTTGTATGTGTGCATGAGGGGGGCGAGCCTGTGGCCGGGGGGATGTGGACCTGTGTCCTACGCCCATGCTCATGTGCCTCGCTGTGGCCCCCTCCCTCCCTGGCCAGTCCTTCGTGAAGGACTACATGATCACCATCACCCGGCTACTGCTGGGCCTGGACACCACGCCGGGCTCGGGGTACCTCTGTGCCGTAAGTGCCCCCGGCCGGGCCGGGCTGGGGTGTGCCGGGCTGTCCCGAGTGGGTGGATGGGCACCCGCCCCTGATTCACGGTGGCCGGGAGGCTCTGGGTGCCACCATCTGCCCCGGCCAACTCAGGGCTCCTGCCCTGCAGATGAAAATCACCGAGGGCGACCTGTGGATCCGCACGTACGGCCGCCTCTTCCAGAAGCTCTGCTCCTCCAGTGCCGAGATCCCCATCGGCATCTACCGGACAGAGAGTCACGTCTTCTCCACCTCAGAGGTCCTGGGGCAGCCCTTGTCCTGTGCGACCCACGCCATCCCCACCTTCCGGGGGCTGGGACCGTGGCAGCCCCTGTCCTGTGCGACCCACGCCATCCCCACCTTCCGGGCGGGGGCTGGGACGTGGCAGCCCCTGTCCTGTGCGACCGCCATCCCCACCTTCCGGGGGCTGGGACCGTGGCAGCCCCTGTCCTGTGTGACCCACGCCATCCCCACCTTCGGGGGCCTGGGACTGTGGCAGCCCCTGTCCTGTGCGACCCACGCCATCCCACATTTCCGAGGGCTGGGACCGTAGCAGCCCCCTGTGCTGTGTGACCCACGCCATCCCCACCTTCGGTGTCGGGAACTAGATCAGCTTTGCCACTGCCGACGCTCTTTTAGTCTGATCGTATTGCCCACATGCAGTGCTTCGGCTGGAACAGCCATGACCCCCACTGGGGGCAGAGAGAGCTCAGGGAGGCTTGAGAAGAAGATGGGCAGCCCCTGTGCCTGCAGCCCCACACAGCGGTGGGCACCGTGCCTGCCAGCCCATCCCCACCTTCCGGGGGCTGGGACCGTGGCAGCCCCTGTCCTGTGTGACCCACGCCATCCCCACCTTCAGTGTCGGGAACTAGATCAGCTTTGCCACTGCCGGCAGCTCTTTTCGTCTGGTCTGTGTGCCCACATGCAGTGCTTCCGGCTGGAGCAGCCATGACCCCCACTGGGGGCAGAGAGGCTCAGGGGAGGCTTGAGGAAGAAGATGGGCAGCCCCTGTGCTGCAGCCCACACAGCGGTGGGCACCGTGCCTGCCAGCCCTAAGCGTGTTCCATGCAGACCCCCGGCTGAGGCGGCGGGAGGGGGGGGCACGCCCACAGGTCCCAGACTGTGCCTATTTCCTTTGCAGCCGCACGACCTCAGAGCCCAGGTAAGTACCCGCTCTGCGCCCACACAGCCTCTGCCGAACACCAGAGCATCGCAGCCTCACGTGGAGAAGCCTGCCAGGCCCCACCCACCCACCTACCCACCCACAGGGCCCTGGGGAAGCCAAGGCGGGAGTGGGTCCCGTGGATGTGTTGGCCCCAGCATGGCTCAGAGAAGGCTCTTGACAGTCACTCCCTCCTGCACTGGTGGGGAAACTGAGGCCTGGGGGAGTAGCCTGTGAGTTTGGACACCAGTTGCACCCCCGCCCCTCCCAGGCCCAGCCCTGGCTCCCCCAGGCCCCACCAAGGCAGGCAGCCCCCATGCCCCTCTGGCCTGACCATCCAGCCCCCAGCCTCCCAGGCCTTTCTGAAGGTGCCGCCTAGGTGGGGGGGGGGGGGCCGCCTCTTCCCAGCACCCCACACCCCACAGGCCCTGGCACCTCACATTCTCCCGGTTCGGGGCCTCTGAAGGGCGTGTTTGCAAGAAGGACCAGGGCCATCTGCAGATTGAGAAGTTGACACACAGAGGGGGTGACCCCCCAGGGCAAGGCCAGGATGTCCTGGGGTCCAGATGGGTCCCCAGCTGGACCCACAGAAAGAAGGGCCCGGAGAGGTGAAGGGAGCTGCCCTCAGTAGCCTGGCGAATCCCTTGACCAGGCCCGGGCAGGGCGGGTGGCCCGGCAGTGTGAGCTCAGGAGGAAACCTCGGACCAGGCATTTTCTTTCCAGAGGAGAGAGGCACATGCACTCTGGGGTCCTCATCCTCTTCCCTGACACCCCCGAGCCGCTCCCACGAAGGCCCCAAGCCCCAGAGCCCACACCTCCTCCTAAGCCCCTGCCCCTCCCGGCAGCCTCACCCCTCCCCGCCCTACCCAGTCCCAGATCTCGGTGAACATGGAGGACTGTGAGGACACACGGGAAGCGAGGGGGCCCTGGGGCTCGCGCGCCGGCACTGGAGGCAGCTCCCACGGCCGCCACACGGGCGGCAGTGACCCCGCGGAGCACCGGCTGCTGCGGCGTAAGAGTCTGCAGTGGGCCCGGAGGCTGAGCCGCAAGGGACCCAAGCAGGCAGGCCGGGCGGCGGCCGCGGAGTGGATCAGCCAGCAGCGCCTCAGTCTGTACCGGCGCTCTGAGCGCCAGGAGCTCTCCGAGCTGGTGAAGAACCGCATGAAACACCTGGGCCTGCCCACCACCGGCTACGGTAAGGGCGCCCGGCGTGGGTGGGGGCAGGACGGACAGACTGGGCCAGGAACAGTCGGCCACGGCATCCCGGGGCCTGGGCCATCCTGTCAGCCTTTCTGGCCACACGCTGCCTGCCCCTACTGTGGGGTCAGCTGTGGGCACCACCACCATGGCCCAGCAGAGGAGGGTGGAGGAGGGGAGTGGCCGTGGCCCACCCTGGTGCTGGGAGGCCACAGCATCCCTGGTGCTGAGCCCCATATGGAGGCATTCTCTCCCACTGCCCTGAGATCTCAGTTTCCCTCTCTGCCAAATTAGAGACAGGAGCTGGCTGAACCCTTCGGCCAGGGGAGGCAGCTGTGGGGTGGAGAGGGCCAGGCTGGGCGCTCCGAGTCAAGGGCGTCAGTTAGCGATGGGCCAGCAGGCTGCAGCTAGTCCTGCTGGACAGTGGATACCCAGGGCCCAAGTTCTCGCAGAGGACAAGACTGTGTTGGGGACCCCCTCCCGGAGCCCCAGCCCTCCCAGCAGCCAGGGTAGGGGGGACCTTGTCTTTGGGGGGATGACTGGGGGAACAGCCCATACCAGGACACAGCTCTGTCCACCATGTGCCTACTGCCACTCCCACGGCACAGCCCCTCCTGCGGTCCAGGGAGCCCGGTGTCCGTCTTCAGCAACAGATCCGCACAACCCCGTCTCTCTGCGCCTTGTGGTGGGAAGTGTGCTTGGGCTTGGGGGCCCTACATGCCCTGCCTGGCAAGGAGAGAAACTCATCCCCTCCCTCCCTCCCTCCCTCTAGAGATGCTACCTCCATTGATGAGGCCACGGGCCCCAGCTCCCCGGCACTGGGCCATGTCAAGGCTCCACCCTCCCTTTGTTCCATCTCGGGGACGTGCCTGATGCTCAGGGCTGCCTCTGTCCCTTCGGGGTGCCCGGTCTCCCAACCCTGCTTCCTGCGTCCGTCACCTGGGTCGAGGTCTTGAGTCCCCTGAGCAGAGTCAGGAGCTCAGGGCTGGCCCAGGAGCTGCTCACAGGTCACTGGGCTGGGCCGGCCTGTGGGCCCGAAGGAGACTCAGAGACCAGAGTTTGGGGAACAGGTGGCCCATGAAGACCTTTCCCAGCCCCCAGCCCCGTGGGCGCTGTGGAGGACGCCCCCCTGTCCCTGCCTTGAAGCTTCCCTCCGTCCCCCCAGTGTCCCTGTCCCGGGAGGGGCTTCATGCCCTTTCAGATGGGGCTCCCAGGGCTGAGAGGGGTGCCCGGCCTTCGCGTTCGTAGCCCCCCTTTGACCATTGGCAGAGGATGATCCAGCCCGGTCCGGCCACCCCCAGAGCTGGTGCCTGCCTCTGCGACCGCTGCCTGCCCCCAGAGCTTGGCAAGGGAGGAGCAACTGCGTTTCTGGTGACCGACTCGCTTCCGGTGGCTGGCGCTGGCTGCAGGTCCTGGGGTGGCCGGCCTCCCGTGCAGCTGCCCCCGCACCCGCCCGCTGTGCCGGCCGCCCGCACCTCGCTTGCTGACACACACTCTCTCTCTCTTTCTGTCTGTGCCTCTTTCTGTGTGTTCTGTAGAGGACGTAGCAAATTTAACAGCCAGTGATGTCATGAATCGGGTAAACCTGGGATATTTGCAAGGTAATTCTGCTCTGGCGGGTGCCGACCGCTGCACCACAGGGCTCACCAACCCTTTGCCGCCGGCAGCCTTGCCGTGCCCCGTCCCGGCCAGGCAGGTGGACGGGAGCTGTGAGAGCACGTCCCAGGTGTCAGCCCAGGCAGCCTTGTTGGGCAAAGCCTCGCATGTTGACAGTGTGTCCCCTGGCTGGGCGTTGAGGACGGGCCTGAGGCTGAGGTCCGGGGCTTGTGCTGGTCAAGGTGCTGTTGGCCACCAGGCAGAGTGGCAACTGCCCAGCTCTCAGGCTCACTCTGGTGCTTCTCCTGCTTTGCTGTTTACGATGAGCCCTGATGGGACCGGTAGGCCACCCTGGCCTACAGCCAGCCCCTCCCTGTGGCTGGCCCCACAAGCGGTCTGAGGACCCTAAGCCCCTCTGCTCTCAGGAAGCACCCACATGGTCCCAAGCCAGGGCCCCGGGAGGAGCTCGGTGAAGCCTGGGCTGGACGCAGGGGTGGGGAGTCCAAGCCGCTAGGAGTGGGCAGGCTTTGTGGCTGCCCAGGCGAGGTGGATAGTAACCTTCATCCCCCAGCTGGGGCTCTACGAGGGGATTCTTCCTGCTCAGCTGGGGCAGAGCCGCTCCACACCCCATTCTGTTCTGGGTGCTCAGCCGCCCAGCACCCCGTTTCCTCCAAGAACATGCTGCGCCCCGTCCGTGCTCAGAGCAGAGTCCCGGCCAGGGCGCTCCCCGGGGTCCTGGCAGCCTCAGGGGAGCTCAGAGCCTGTCCCCGCTGCCACCCCTCCCTACAGGGTAACCCAGGAGCTTGAAGGGCCTCCTGAGCCCAGGCAGGTGTTAGCTCGGGAGGGATGTGTTTGCCAGGATGGCCTTGCAGCCGGAGGCAGGGCCAGGCCTGGAGCGGCCACGGAAGTAAACCGTCGGCCTCTCCCGATTCCGTGCTCTTCCCTACGATGGCGCTCATGGAAGACCCTCGCTCTGCCGGGCACTGTGGCACTTGGACCCGCAGCTAGTGGCCTTCATGAGCCTTCATGAGTGGGACGCCTGCGTTTCCCTCTGCCCTCACCCGCCACGGCTTCCTGCGGCTCCTGCTGCGGCTCCAGGGCAGGCGCGGCCACGGCAGGCTTGGGGGTCGAGGGCTCACAGGACTCTCGTGGCAGGCATCTCCTGGGCTCGGCCTACATGCCTGGGACAGTGAAGGTGCCACGGCTTTGGGGTTCGGGGGCTACACCCCCCTGTTTGGATTCAAGCAGACCCTAGGCCGGGACGCAGAACAGGAAGAGTCACTCTCTTTGCAGGGAGGGTGGGCAGCATCCTGGGGCCCCTCCAGCGTGCAGCCCCCACCCCCCACACACACAGCAGGAGGAGCCACCTCAGCCCCGATACACAGACCCCGTCTTCACGCCTCCTCACGGCTGCCCTGGGGGTAGGCACTAGTTACCCCCAGTTTATAGAGGAGGAAACTGAGGCTCGGGTGGCGGCAGCTCTGGCCCAGCGTGGGGGATTCAGGCAGGAGTGACCGTGGATGCCAAGGGCCAGGGATCTGGAAGTTCTGGGGCCTGCAGGGTCAGGAAGCGGGTGAGGGGCAGAGCTACCACTGAGGCCTGGAGTGAAGGTTGGAGGGTCTGGGTGGAGGAGTCAGGTAGCCCTGGGGACCAGGGGTGAGGTGGCCCTGCCCCAGGACATTCACCAGAAGGGCCAAAGCCAGGCCCCCAGGCACACCTGCTGCCAGCCTTCACCAAACAGTGGACACGCAAAGCTGGTCCTCTGTGCCCATCCTGGGCAGCCAGGACCAGTGCCACGTGACTGACCACAACCCAGCCCCTGGCACTGCAGCTGGGGCCCAGCGTCCCCACCCACCACCCAGCCCAGCCTGGCTCAGCCCAGCTACGTGCTCTGCTCGCTTCAGAAGCATATGGTCCAGGCACCCCAGGGGGAAAAGCTGAGGCCTGGGGGCCAGTCTGTGCCTGCCAGAGTGAAACGAGCTGGTGGCCTCTTGTTCTTGGTGTCCCACTGGGTGCTCATCACAAAGCCAGTCAGGCAGCGGGGGCAAGTCCTTACTGGAGCCGCCCACACCACTGCTCCCTGCACCACCTGCCATGCGGCCACCCCAGAAATGTGTGTTGGCACAAGGGCAGGGAGTGTGTGCCTCCCTGCACAGCCTCAATGTGAGGCCCCTGGGCCTGTACCAAAGGCCTGGGGAAGATCCTGCCATGGGTTTTGGAAAGAGAGCAAAACAGCTGTGAGGGGCAGGTGTCAGGCCGTCCCATCCCGCAGGCATGGACACAGGAGCTGGCACCAAGTGACCTGCCGCCGTGTGCGAAAGGCCCGAGGCAGAGCTGTCCAGGTCACCCCCCAAGTCCTAGCCTGTGCCCCCACCTCCCTGGCAGCAGCTGTGCTCACACTGTGGGACCTCTGAAGCCCCCACTGTAGAAGGACCAGCGTGGCCCCCACCTGGCTGGCCAGCAGCCTCCCTGACTTTCCTTAGGGGCCATGGCAGGGCTGTTCCAAGGGGAGAGGACGGGCAGAGAGAAGGGAATGGTGGCAGCCAGGGTGGAGGCTCCCTGGGGTTCCCCTGTCCTGGGTCACCTTTGTTCTCTGTCCTTGGAGTCCTGGAACAGGAATCCAGGAGGTTCCCTTAGACACCATCAGATGGATAAACTGAGGCTACAGGCCCTTCCCTCCCGGCCAGTGAACCCAGGGCCACTGCTGGGATGGTGGGCTCTCCCTCCCTCTGCTTGGCCCCACGGAGACTGTGAGATGACAGGCAGTGTTTCTCCAGGACTGTTTTCACCCTATGGGACACGTCCCCACTCCCACGCCATGAGCCAGACGCCAGGCTGTCTCCCATGAGGGGCAGGGCCGTGTTCTCAGAGGGATGAGCTGGGGGCTGTTCTGGGCTGATGCCACTTGGGACTTAAGTCTGAAGCAAAGGGCTGAGCACAGCGAGTGGGAGGGGCCTGCCGAGGCCCAGGGACAGCAGCAGCTGCAGGGCCCTGTGGGAGGGACGGGGCTGAGCAGCCTCTGGAGGCCGAGGTGGGTGTGTGTGAATGTGGAGGATGGCGTGCAGGTGTGTATACGAGTGAGTGTGCGGGGGTCTGTGGATAGCATAGGTACGGGTGGCTGTGAAGATCTGTGCAGATAGACACAAATGTGTGTGGGACACAGGTGAATCTGCAGGTGTGTAGGCGTGTGCTGTGTGCACAGGTGTGTGCAGGTGTTATGTGTTGGGGGGGTTGGGATAATTCTGTGTGCGTGTGTGCACAGGTGTGCGCAGGTGTTATGTGTGTATGGGGGTTGGGATAATTCTGTGTGTGTGTGTGCACAGGTGTGTGCAGATGTTATGTGTGTATGGGGTTGGGGTGCGTAATTCTGTGTGCGTGTGTGCACAGGTGTGTGTAGGTGTAGATGAAGGCGTGCATGCATGTGAGGTGAATAGACATGTCTATTGGTAGACGTAGGTGTGTGCTGGTGTGTACAGGTGTGCTTGGTGCCTCTGCTCAGGCCCACCCCTTTGCTGTGATGCCACCTGGCACCGGAGGGGTGTGCAGGTTGGAGCTGGCTCTCGGCTGCCCTCCTGGCTGCCCCCTGCCCAATGTGGGGATGGGCCCTGGCTGGGCTCACCAGGATGAGGTGCTGGAGCAGAATGGTCAGGAGGCCGGAAAGATGCAGCTCATCCTGCAGCCCCCACACCTCCGGGCCCCTGCAGAGCTGGGAGGGGGAGGGCTGGGGGTGACGTCTGCCCGGCTGTTTCCTTTGCAGACGAGATGAACGACCACCAGAACACCCTCTCCTATGTCCTCATCAACCCTCCGCCCGACACGAGGCTGGAGCCCAGCGACATTGTGTGAGTAGCACCTGCGGGCTGTATGGAGACCCCCTGAGCACCAGGTGGGCACTGGGGAGACGAGGCCACAGGCACCGCCGTGGGGCTGCTGGGCAGGGGCTGCCCGGTGTACGTCCACTCCAGGGTCCCCTCTGCCCTCCCACAGCTATCTCATCCGCTCCGACCCCCTGGCTCACGTGGCCAGCAGCTCCCAGAGCCGGAAGAGCAGCTGCAGCCACAAGCTATCATCCTGCAACCCCGAGACTCGCGACGAGACGCAGCTCTGAGCCAGCCCTGCACGGAGCTCGGGCCACCAAGCCCAGGGTCCTCAGGAAGGACGTGGAGGAGTGTGTGAGGACACAGTGGCACTAGCGTGACCCTGGGGATGCCATACTCTGCTCACCATGGCTCCTGGGACTCCTGGGAAGGAGCTCCTCGTGCGGGGGGAGGGCCAGCTCACCCTCGGGTACCTGCAGGCTAGTGAGGAGAGTTTTTTAACCTATTTTTACAGACCGATGCAGTCCACGTCTCTTTACACAGATGTACCGTAACTCGTGACCAGGGCTGGCTGGGAGGGCAACGCGGGGACCAGACGCCCCGCAGGGCCGAGCCCAGGCTGTGCTGGAGGGTGGGGCTGGCTGGGGTGCATGGGGAGGGGAAGAGAACCCAGAACCCAGGAGCCCTGCGTGGGCCACACCCAACTTAGAGCCAGCCTGAGCTTTCATGGCCAAGCGGCCTCCCTTCCTTCCAGCCAAGGCCTGGGGGCCGGGGCTGCCGTGCTGCACTCTGTGGGGCCGGTGAGGGGCACCCTCTGCTCTTTGCTGTCCCGAGCCCCTTCTGGAAGTCAGAAGCAGCAAAGGGCCCGGGGAAGCCGGGCGTGTGTGAGGGGTGCATCCCCAGGTGCCCCAGAGGGCCCTGTTGCCAAGGACCTTTCTGAAGGTCACGAGCAGAAGCAGAAGACGCCATTTCCTCTACTTCACACTGAACTTTCCCGGCCACGGCGTCTGGGCGGCGTTTGGGTGGAAGATGGTGCATTTCCACAGCCCATTTTACACTTACCTTTTAAAGCAAAGCCTCGTTTTCTAAACCCCTGACTTGTGAAGCACAACTCAGCCTCGGGGTTGGGCCATGTGGGGGGAGAGGACCTTCTTAGCAAGGCGAGATCCCGGGCGGCGGCTGACAGCGGGAGCGCCGCCCTGCGTCCTTTGCTGCTGGTTCCTTACTGGTTGGTACGGTCAGTGCTGGAACCTTCTATTAAACGGATGCATTCTGGAGGCATGAAGTTACAAGTTGCCCTGCTCGTGGTTCCAAGGCTCTCACCCCTCCCAGCCACCCCATTTTAAGGGTTAGAAACACCTGCTGGGGTCCCCACCCCAACCCCACAGGCAAGCTGCCATTCCCCAGCCAGACCAGGACAGTCCTTCCAAAACTCAGGAACCAAATTGTATTTGGCTACTGGTGACTGAATCCTGGTAGCCGGGAAACCCATCTGGTGATGGGGGTCCCAGAGTCCAGGAGGGCTCTCTGGTGAGCTGCCCATCAGTCTTACCCCTGCAGCCAGGTGTGTCCCTGGGGTGGGTACAGAGACCCCAGGCTCTGCCCACAGTGGCACAGAACTCAGGTCAGCAGCTGCTGGGGACCCCCTACACTGGGGGTCAGGGCTGCCCCAGGCAGGGATGTGTGTGTACCTCACCACATCATTTCAGGGTACCCCAAGAGGCTGAAGGGGAAGGACCAAAAGGCTGAGGTGCAGCCCCTCCCCAGTGTCAGGGCAAATGACACAGCTGCTAGAGGGGCCGGCCCTGGCCACACGACTAGCTAGTCCCTTACTCCTGGCCTGCCTGGAACCCTCCTGCTCAGAAGGGGCCCACTAGCCCTCGGTGGGGGACAGAGCCAGATGTGGGTGGTCAGGAAGAGGCTGCGTGGATTCAGGGCTCCAGAAAGTCCCGGGACCTTGATGCAGTGGCAGCAGTTGATGTTGGGCTAGAGTGGCCAGAGCCTGTCCCAGCAGGGCTGGGGTCTATCAGGTTCCCGGGATCCAACCAGCGGGCACGCCCTGCCCTGCAGTCAGTCACCCTGCAGCAGGCAGGCCCGGGCAGCTTCTCGTGTCATCCACACCCTGGCCCCCAGGCAACAGCGGCTGCACAGCCCCTGCAGGGAGGAGAAGGGAGAGAAAAGCCGGCCTGGCGGCTGGGATGGGAGGGCCACAGCTCCAGTGGTGGCGGGGGAAGCTGTAGCCCCTGGAACCCTACACTGGGAAGAGCTGGCCTCTAGGAGGCACCATGGGGGAGTCACATGACTTGCTGAGGATTGACCTGCGATGTGGACGGTGTTCCTGGAGTCCCTTGTGGCCACTCCACCACCGGGAGGCCGGGAGGCCTCTTAGCCGTTGAGCCTCTCTCCACGGGTGAGTGGAGTCCCCCAAAGAGGGCTGGGGGCTTGCTGCCCAGGCGGGGCTGGGTGGGCACTTTGGGCCTCGGAGAACATCAGTGGTCCGTTCCCTCCCGCACGTCGGCAACAAGTGGCAGCATGTTCATAATCTCCAGTAGCGAGGCCACTTCAGGTCCAGCCCTGGACATCCGAGGAGGAGGTGGGCAGTCCCTGCTCCTTCACTAACCGCAGAGGATGCCAGGGCCTAGGCCCCCTGCTCTGCCTGGAGCTCATGCGGGCAGCCGTGGACACAGGTGGCACCCAGCGCCCAGTGGCCTGTGAATCCTCCCGTGGGCAAGGCTGGGAGCCAGGGGCTGGAACCAGGCAGGTCCATGACTGTGAGATGCCAGCAGCCAGCCCAATAAAAGCTGCCTGAAGCATCTGGAACCTTCTGTGCTCTCCTTGGCCTCCATGTTCTTCATCTCCCGGTTTAGGGAGTACCTGGGGTACCTCTCTGCTTGTCCCGAGCCCACTCACCATCAGCCCCGGCTGGCACAGTCAGACATCAGGAAGGTGGGTCCCTGCTCCCCCAGCCGTCCTCGTCCACCATCACTTCTCCCAGCCTCATGTCCGGCTGACCCATCAAAGGTCCCCCTGCAAAGCCTACAGCAAGTGAAGCAGGATCTGAGCAAAGGTTGAGGAACTGAATTCCCTAAGTCATCACTGCCTAGAATGAGCTAAAAGAATTTGTTTTAATGCTTTACGGTAGAATTATTTGAAACACACAAAATTAGTGAGAAACCTGCTATTTTCCTTATTCCTTTTTTAGTTTGTTTGTTTTTATTTTCCTTATTCCTCATCCATCTAACAGAAACCTGTTTGGGCCGGGCGCGGTGTCTCATGCCTGTAATCCCAGCACTTTGGGAGGCCAAGGCAGGTGGACTGCTTGAGCCCAGGAGTTTAAGATCAGCGTGGGCAACATGACAAAGCCCTGATTCTATCAAAAAACACACACACAAAAAAAAAAAAATTAGCTAGACATGGTGGCATGTGCGTATAGCCCTAGGTACCGAGGAGGCTGAGGAAGGAGGATCACCTGAGCCGGGGAGGCTGAGGCTGCAGTGAGCTGAGACTGCACCACTGCACTCCAGCCTGGGCGGCAGAGTGAGACCCTGTCTCAAACAAAAAAAGAAAAAGAAAAAGAAAAGAAAACTGTTTGCTCAAAATCAGAATACTAACAGTGTATTGGGTGACTAACGCTTACGGGTGAGTGAAATTAAAAGCAACATGAAAAGGGACAGGCGACAGGAAGCGGGGGTTGTCAGTTACAAGTTACCATGTGACCTGAGAAGCAACACAGTAACTTACAGGTGGATTTGGATTAGCTGCAAACTCTACAGCAACCACTAAAATATATATACTTATTTTTGTTTTTTTCTCTATCTGAAAGTGTAATTGATATGCTACAAAAGAAAAGACTATGGAATCATATAAAATGCTTAACTGAAACCAGAGAAAGCAGAAAACAAAGGGAGATAGAAACTAAGACCAAGGGCAACAAATAGAAAAACAGTTATGAATGTGGCAGATGTCAATCCCACGAAACCAGTCATCACATTACATGGCAATGCGTTGGTCTAAATACACCAATTAAAAGAGACTGACCAGGCACGGTGGCTCACACCTGTAATCCCAGCACTTTGGGAGGCCGAGGCAGGCGGATCACCTGAGGTCAGGAGTTTGAGACCAGCCTGGCCAACATGGTGAAACCCAACTCTACTAAAAATACAAAAATTAGCCGGGCGTGGTGGTGGGCGCCTGTAATCCCAGCTACTCGGGAGGCTGAGGCACAAGAATCACTTGAACCCAGGAGGAGGAGGCTGCAGTGAGCCGAGATCGTGCCACCGCGCTCCAGCCTGGGCGACAGAGCAAGACTTTGTCTCCAAGAAAAAAAAAAAAAAAAAAAGATGGAGACTGATAGTGGATTTGTTAAGTCCCCAAGTTATGGAGAGTCACATGGCCAGCACGTCAGCCCTCCTCCACCTCCCGCACACACCTCAGGCCTGGATGTATGTCCAGGATGGAGGGCTTTAAAGAGACCCCTCGGTGGCCCGTGGTTTTACAGCAGGCAGTGTGGCCAGCCAGCTCCCCACAGCCCCAGCTCCTGGAGGGCCCCTGGGGACAGGAAGGTGTCCCGCTCAGCAAACAGATGCTCTCTGTTGGAGAGGTCCAACCTGGTCAGGTGCGCAGGCTGCCACAGGCACCCACGGCAGGTGGCACAGCTGGTTGGAAGCCAGGAAGAGCTCCTCCAGGCAGGTACCTGCTGGAAGGTGCCAGGTGACAGGTGGGTGATGCAGTTGCCTGAGGGCGCATGTACCTCATTCGGTGGGAAAACTGAGGCACGGCCCCTTCCTGGCCATGCCGCCTGCCAGGTATCCAGGCATTGCCTACCATGATCAGCCCCTGCACTGCCCCCAGGTCCCAGAAAGCTGCCGTCTCTGCCCCACAGCTGCCTGGATGGTTGTGTGTGAGGGCCAGGCTCCAGAGGCCCCCACCTTGCCTGCGTGGAAGGTCCAGAGGACCTGTGAGGAGCACTGAGGCACGGCCACTGCAGAGCAAGGGCTTCTCCGTGAGCAGAGGAGTCAGGCAGGACCGAGGACAGAGGATGCTCAGAGAGCAGCCGGCCCAGCCCCTCCACCTGCCCAGAGCGCCTCACTGCTCCACTTGCCCTGGCATTCCTGAAAGCAAGCTGCAGGGGGGCCACAGGGCACCAGGGGCAGTCCCACGGAGCCCCCAACTCACACACTCTGTCTACTGCTGTGACTCCCAGCCTGCCCCAGAAGACAGCAGCCAGGAGCCCTCCTGACCTCCGAGGAGCCCAGATCCCTGGGGGACTGACAGCGGCTTGGCCTCCTGTCTGCTGAGCACCGCCAAGCCTCAGCCCCAACCGCGGAGCTCTGCACTCTCCCAGGATGCCAGCTCCCATCCAGCTGTTCCTGGGCCGCTGCCCTCAGCCCGCCCTCTGGCACCACCTCCACACGTGAGCTCATGCTCTCTTTCTCTTCCCCTCTGAGTAGCTGAGCTTCTCCAGCCTTCCCCACATGCCGTCTTCTCTTCCTCACCCCACTCCCAGCACCCCCCAAAACGCACCCTGAGTCAGGCTGACTCCTGGTCACTGAACCCGAAGGGTGCTGCTGGTTCTCACCTCACGTGACCTCCACTGGACACTCACCCCACCCGCCCTCCGCAAGTCTGTCTTGGCCCCCGATGGTCCTAACGCGGCCCCAGACTACTGAGGTTTGCCGGTGCTGGCCCGTCTACCAGCTCCTCCAGAAGTCCAGCCCCACTCAAGTCTGGAAACTCATCAGCCCGCTCCACACCGCTCCCCGTGTCCAAGCCGATCCGTCTGTCACACCCTTGAGACCCCATGTCCTCCTCAGTGTCCCCCACCCACACCCTGAGGCCACCCGCTGTCTCTCACACAGGCACTAGGGGGTGCCTCTGCCTTCCCTGGCATTGCCCCAGCCGGGAAACGCACCCATTCCTGTGCCTTGGGCCCTCCGTCTGTTCTCTGTAGTGAGAGCTGACCTTCATCTACCCTGCCACCGTCTAAAATCCTGGGGTGCATGACGATACAGTCCTAAACTCTGAGAGGGGCTGTGAGTTCCTCCTGGGGTGGGCCCTGGGGACCTTGGCCACAGCGCCTGGCACCCAGGATGTTCATGAAAGACACTGATGGCTGCTTGGGACCAGGCTTTCTTTCAGGCATGCGTCACACATGGCCACCCCCGGAAGGCCCTGGGAACAGCCTGACCCTGGCCATGCTCCGATCTCCATCCCCACAGGAGCTGTCCAGGGCAGGCCCTGCCCCGTCCCTCGATTCTTTGCTGCAGCCAAGACCGGCCGTGCAGAGCAC